TGAAATCTAAATAGAATGAATGTTGCTCTCCCAAGCGTCGCCATATATGCAGAGAGAGTAAAGCACTTCCCAAACGTCCAACCCAGTGACCTCAAGGCCTCTTGTGCTCAGGTGAATTCCCTGCAAAGTGAAAATTATTGATTGGATTCAGCTTTGCACCTGTAGAAGTCTTTCTGTTAGCTGATTGAGCTAGTCAGGTAATATGTTGCAATGTTATAAAGTGCCTATATACACAGATTAGCCATAACATTAAAACTACCTCCTTGTTTTTTACATTTCTACATTCATTGTACATTTTGTCCACTTACCATATAGGTGCTTTTTATAGTTCTACAATTATAGATTGTAGTTCATCTTTTTCCTCTACGTGCTTTATTAGCCCTCTTTAGCCTGCTATTCAATGGTCAGGACCCCTGCAGAACCACCGCAGAGCAGGTATCATTTGAGTGGTGAATTGTTCTCAGCACTGTGGTGACATGTTTGTGCTTGTTGTGCTGGTATGAGTGTATCAGACACAGCAATGCAGCTGGAGGTTTTGGAGTTTTGTGTCCACTCCCTGTCCACTCTGTTAGTAAAAACCTCCCTAGTTGGTCCACCTTGTAGATGTAAAGTCAGAGACAGTAGCTCATCTGCCACTGCACAGTTTCTGTTGCTCATCCTCATCTATCAGTGGTCACAGGATGCTGCTGTTACTGTTCGCTGGATATTATGGGTTGATGGACTATTTTCAGTCTAGCAGTGACACTGAGGTGTTTAAAAACTCCAGCAGCACTGCTGTGTCTGATTCACTCGTACCAGCACAACACAGAAACACGCCACCACCAGGTCAGTGTCACTACAGTGCTGAGAATGATCCACCACCCAAATAGTACCTGCTCTGTTGGGGACCTTTTGAAGAACAGGTTAAATGGGGCTAACAAAGTATGCAGAGCAACAGATGGACTACAGTCTGTAATTGCAGAACTACAAAGTGTAAATGGTAAGTGCATCTGATGTCTGATGAAATGGACAATGAGCGTAGAAACAAGGAGGTTAGGTTAGGGTTAGGGTTGGTTTTACTTTTACTTTTACTTTGTTTTCTTTGTGGACAGTTTTGAACTTGTGTTCAGGTATTTTTTTCCACTCTGTAAAACTGTTGTTCCTAAAAAGAGCTTCCATGTGTGCCCTGTACTAACACAGTTATGGCCAAGACAGGAAACCAAAGGGGGTGTTGTGCCAGGAAATGTGTGTCTGTATCCATGGAGCTGTAAGCCACTGTTGACTTGACACACATGAGCTCCCTCTCTTTTTGTTTGAAACACCAAATCAACAAAAATTATTCACATAGGTTGCCTTTTGTTGCTCCAGGCTCAGGAAAATAGTCCTTCATGTAGACTGTACAAGGGTGCATTTCAAGCCTTCATGCTCCATGCTGTTTTCTGTCTGATTGCCCTACAATACCAGTAGACTGTATAGACTCAATTATCTGTAACCTCTCCTTTTTTTTTAAACAAAACTATCGCAGCACCCTTACAATTTGGATCTATAATAAGTGTCCACACGCATACCCTGTAATAACCCACCCTATTTTTCATGTTCCCATTATTAGGCCTGGGTTTGTGAGAATGCCTTATAAGCACTTGTCTGATAGGCATTCCACTCATGTGGCTGCTGCTGCTTGCTCTGCAGGCTTGTTGGAGCAGCTGGGCCTTTGTCAGCTGACTGCTTGTGTAATTCCCCAGCTGTGTCTGGACATGAGTGGCCCTGCTCCTATTATGTCAGTTCAAGGGCCAAAGGGAACAGTCAGCTGTTGTTGTTTTGGGCGTGACCATGCCTGAACTTCTACTGCTGTATTGATGCACAGTGCTTTAGGGTCATTGGATTGAAAACATCTGTCACAGTTGGGTTTTTACCCCAAATGACTCTGAATTCTATTATTTGCTTTAGCATTTTGCTTTAATAGGTGTTTGTATTTGACAATACAGACCTTGGGTATATATCACAGTGGTTCATCAAAATATTTTTTGACCCCTTAGCAAGCTCACCTACTTAAAGCCCTGCTTCGTAAGCCGTACTGTTAGAACCGTTAGAAGTCTTTGTCAGAGTTGGTGGTCTTGTGATTTTTTGCTTTCACATCTTTAACACACACCGAAAAGACAGATCTTACCAACTTTAACAACAAATCCTGAATAAATATAATTGTCAAGTATCAATCTATAATGTGTATTTATTAATAAGTCTCGTAAGATATGGGACAGGGGAATTATAATAACTTTCAGCCCTAGTCAGTTAAATATTACGTCAACGACTGTTGCGTGTGGTCCGTCCTAGTAGAGGGTGGAAGTCAGTTTGAAAACTTTGCAGAGAGCAAACTTTAGGCAAACTTGTTCTTGCCTTTCCTTAAAGGAGGGGATGGAGGTAACTGACATAAGATGCTCCGAGAATGATGTGACATGCGCACTTTTGCACACATTCCAACTATATTAATAAGGACTGAGTAAGTCCAGCATGCCACACAGGGACTGCATACTCAAACACCAGTATAATGGACCCAATATGTGTGGCTAATAAATCACTTTGCACAACCAAAAATCATTTGATGCTTAAGAAGATGCAACTTTCTGCTGGCGCTTCCTGTTATTTATTTGCTTGTTCTTTTGACGCTTGTGCTGGGTGATGAGCCCCAGTACTTTGATTTGAGTCACAGTGGTAGAAGATGGAGATTCAGCCCTTTTAAGACTTTTTTTCCTCTTCTTTTACAGGTCTACCACCATGCACCTCAAGCCATATCCCAAAACACAGAATAAAGAGCTTCACCAAGAGGGAGGGCAAGATGGCACACACAATCTTCACGTGGATCAGCGAGGAGTACTCAGAACTGAGTGGGGTGTTCGCCAAGCATGTAGCCTCATGGGCTCGCCTGGCAACGGTACAGCCAACCGGTGCCCCCTCAGTGTCATCTCTACTAATACCCTCCGTTGTACCACCAATAATGGCAGTGCCCCACCCAATAGATCAAGTGGAGATTTCTCCAGCGCCTGGACCCACAAGATCAAGGCACCTTCCTCTGTCACTACATTCACAAGTTCCTTAGTTCTGTTCTCAACCTCAACTGGCTTGGAGAATGAGGGCTCACTAAGGATCTATCAGGGAGAGGAAGGAGAAGGATCTTTAGACATATGGGCTGTCATCAAACCTGGGAATACCAAGGAGAAGATTACAATCTTTACTGCCCAGAAGTGTAGCCATGTTGGTGCAGGTGGCAATGACAAAGCACCAGAGAGAGGGGGGATTACCCCAGATATGAGAGTGGTATCAATGAAAAGCAAAGGTTGCTGGGATGGTGACTGGTCTGTAGCAAAGCGCAGAAAAAGGTCTGGAAACCCAGATAAGCAAAGAAGCATAGAGCCTCCAGCTCAAAAACCTGAGATATGCACAGCACCCATGACAGCGAACAAAAACTCAGATCCTTGCTATGGTGTAGCTGGGGAACTTGAGAGAACAGATGGAGAAGAGGGTGGAAAGACGCCCTCTGTTGTGGAAATAGTGGCATTTTTTGAGCAGAGGGCTTGCGATCAGCAGGTAGATTTGAAGCCTCAGTCATTGCGAAGCTCCAGCACAATTACTCTCTCCAAAGCTGGATCGCTGGTTCAGCCTACAGAGCAAGTATCACAAGGCCCACAGCCATCAGAGGTTCCTGAGGAGGAGGAATCAGTGCGGGTACTGGACATGGTTGCCAAGGTGGAATCACAGTGCCTAAGCAGACAGAGCCTCAGAGATGGGGGAAACCTCTCCCGCAACAATAGTCTACGGAGGAGGGTGGGACGTGTTCTGCTGGCAGGGTCTGAACCATGCTCTGTGCCCTTGCAGCCAGCAGTGCCTGCCCTGCCTCAAGATGAGAGGGTAAAGAGTGCAACAGAAGGACTGACAAGCGTGACTGACAAACTCAGTGGCCCTTCTGAAGCCCTTTTGCCTGTGTCAACAGAGAACTCTGAGAGTTTAGTCAGCTATACCAGAGTACAGCAAGGAAGTAAGAATGTTGCTGAACAAGAGACATGTGCAAATATAGAGACAGTAAAGGACTTGCAGCCTCTAACCAGTCAAACCAACCCAGAGGCCAGTGATTGCGGGGAAGAACCTCTTCCAGGCATGCTGTTTTTTGCCCCTTCCACCCCTAAGGCACTTCAGGAGCAGAAACCTCTGACTGTTTCTGAGAATAGCCCTGTATCTCAGAATGTAGAGTGCTCCTCTAATGGCCAAGAGAGTGACCATGCAGGAGCACGGTCACTCCAGCAAACATTGGGCCCTCTTTTAGCTAAAGAGCCATCCAGTGAGGAGAACATGGATAGATTGGGGGCTGATGTAGAGGAAACTGAAGGGGAAGTCAGTGTAATTAGTCGCGATCCTGTGCCTTTGCCCTTGCGTCGCCTAGTGTCTCACGAGTTCTTGGAGACCCGCTTCAAAATTCAGCTCCTTCTGGAGCCTCAACAGTACATGGCCTTCTTGCCCCATCACATTATTGTCAAGATTTTCAGCTTGCTGCCTACCGAAAGCCTGGCTGCTCTCAAGTGCACCTGTCACTACTTCAAGTTTATCATTGAGAGTTATGGTGTGCGACCAGCTGACTCCCTTTGGGTGAGTGACCCACGCTACAAAGATGATCCTTGCAAGCAGTGCAAGAAGCGTTATGACCGTGGTGACGTGTCACTGTGTCGTTGGCACCATAAACCCTACTGCCAGGCATTGCCTTATGGCCCTGGCTACTGGATGTGCTGCAGGGGGTCCCACAAAGACACACCTGGTTGCAATGTGGGACTCCATGACAACCGCTGGGTCCCTGCCTTTTATAGTATCAATATGCCAATTTATAAGAAAAGCAGGGACTGTGAAGATGTGTAGTTGTGCCAGAGGAGGGATAGTGTTTGAGCTGTGTTTGGTTGGGCTGTGTGGATGAACAGTGTTTATTGTGCCTCTGTGCTGCCATATGAGCATGTGCTGTTGTTTGTTTTGTTTTTTTTTGTTTTTGTTTTTGTTTTTTTTTCTTTGGATGTTGAAACTGCTTGTAACCATATTGCTGAAACTAACCAGGTGGATTGCTGTAATTTTTTCCTCTGATCCTCTCCTGCTAACCACCAACTCATCTCTCTACCCTCCTCAGGTCCTTAAAGTTGGTCTGCACTTTAACCTTTTAAGAAAAGACTGAATTCCCATGAATTCTGTCAGGGTACTGCTTTCACTGATTCTACTCTTGACAAGCATTAACCTACTTTTCACTAACTTATTTCTTAAGGAACACCTCAAAAAATCTTCATTGATTTGCGTTCACTGTCATTCAGTATATTTGACATAAATAAGCCTAACTTTTCTATATGATGGAAACTTTATCTTGTTCACAGTAGGGATGCTTACATAAAGGGCTTAATATAATTGTTTAAAATCACTGCCCCATGCACCATCTCATCCTAATAACATTTCCTGGGGAAAGTTGGAGTAGCTGACTTTATCTCTGGCTGGTCTGAAAGTTGTTCTGAGCCCAGTTGTTTACATTGTACATAGCAGAGTCATGTATCATAATAGGGTGAAGAATGATGGCATAAGTGTGACTTGAACTGCAACTTCAGGTTCAACACTTTAATGCCAAAGTGTGTGTATTTCACATTGCTTGCTCTTGTTCTACAGTGAATCCTTACATTAACCACTGTAAAATAGCAGTGCATACACCTTTAAATGTTGGCATCTCCCTGGTATGATGCAGTGTTTCTCACAAGGAGACATTTGAATGTGGGGAGATTGACCAACCATATTATCTTAACAGCAGCTTACTGGATGGCATCTGGAAAAAAACACAGAATTCACAGAAATGGAAAGAGAATGGTCTCCAAAGTGTGTTTCAGAATTTTAAAGAGCATTATTGTAATACCTGTTTTCTGCCTTATAAGGCATTTTACTTCAATAAAGTGTATTCTTGGAGGATCTGTAAGCTGCACCTATTTCCTCTTTTGATTTCATGCAAACATAAAGCAAGTATTGCATTCTAACTTGAACATTTGTGTATGATTTTAAAGTTGGGAGAATTTACTTTTTAGTATTAGGATTTTGTGACTTACAAAGGTTGGGGGAGAGGTAAACCTATTGCACTTGAGAAAGAAATTCACAACATTAATGATCCCTGGAATATTTTTAAGGGCAATGGGCCTCATTCACCAACCATTCTTAAGAAATTTCTTCTTAAAACCCACTTATGCAGTATTTGCAAAAATTCCGACATTTACCAATGTTTCCCTATTTGGGATTTTTTCTTAGGGAAGAACAGAATCTGCACACACTCAAGTATGTGAACAGTTTAGGAGTACATCACGAATCTGACAGACTTTAAGAAAAAGTCTTAACGTAGGAAATTAAGACAAAACCTTGGAAGATATTGGTGAACGAGCCTGAATGTTATATTTGGTATAAGTGGAGTAAAAAGTCCAGTACCTTTGGGCTTGACTTTTACTATTAAGCAGTTTCAAGTTGCTTTACCCTTTCATGTCCCTGTTGTTCCTTGTGCCTGACAGATCTGACATCTCCTAATCAGAGATATATAAAATATTATACAATGCTTAATGTTTTCTTGTATGTGTATGTGTATATAAAATCTCCTAATACTCAAATGTGCATTGGGATCACACAGTTGCTTTATTTTACTCAAACTATGTATATACAGATATATAAATATTTCTTTTTCTCCTTTTTAAATTGTGTGGCCTTGAAGTGCACAGTATAAATGAGTGGATGAACACATTTGACTGGGTAATAAAATGCATGAAAATATCTGGTTCCCATTGTTTTAATTCCAGACAACTAATCGGTTCTTTCCCCTGAAACAAAAATGATTCTTGATGACAACAATGTTTTGTCATACGCAGTAAATGTCTCGGACATGTTTCAGTTTAATAATGTGTTTTTTTTTTTTTATTATACTTTTTCAGTTTTGCCCAGACATACAAAATATTGCTTGTCACACATTTACACAAGTGTCCTCCAAATTTAAGATGCATCTTTTTGACTTTATCAAGACAGAGCCAATAAGACAATAGAACCCAACCAAACCATGATATAAATTTTTAATCAAGATTTCAGTTCTAAAGTTCATGCCTACCAGATCCCATAGTAGTAGTTAGTAGTAATAGAAAGAAAGGCAGGACTGCCAAGATGGCATAAAATGAGCATCCCCACTTATTTCTTCCTAAAGTAAAACTCCTTATATATATATATATATATATATATATATATGTATATGTGTATATATATATATATATAAAATTTAATAAAATACCATACAAACACACCCATAACATCAATAATCCATTCCCAGACTACTGCAACATTTATACAGTTAGGGTCGCTGAATAGCTGGTGAGAAGGTGCGTTTTCATTTTTCAGCAAAATTTGACATGTCGGCGCCTGCCAGCACGATCACTCTCTAATGTCATAGATGAATCTGACAACCAATGTCTTACATTTACTATTCTTGCACTGCTAAAATAACTGAACATACTAAGCCACTAACACTACAATCTCATGGTGGTTCTGAAGGGAGTCTCACACTGGAAGGGAGGTTCTGACATATGGGTGTTGTGAGATCACCCAGCAAGTTGTTTTCAACTTGTTTGCTTCCATATTCAAAAAATAAAGTGTTTCTGTGTAAGCAAACAAGCCCATCAATGTGACTTGCAACTTGCACAATCTGTCACCTCTTGTAGTGTTATTTTCTTAACTTGCTGACAATCTTCACAACAGATCATGTCTCTTCTATGCATCAAGCTTTATAGTAGAGAGGCTAGTTGCAGACAGTGGATAATGAGGGGCATCTACAGTGTTTGTGAGCTACAAAAGGTCTGAAATGTCAGAGTAAGCAGTTTGGTAAGTCCTATTTCTATTATCAACCCTCAAAACACAGCTTGCCTTCCTTGTCAGAAACTGGTTGCTTTTGGAAATGGTTTCCTTCCCCCTCATTTCCACCACACACATTCATTTTTTCTCCATGCCGTCAGATGACCGTAAACATCCCTTTTTCCAATAAGATCTGACAAAAGAGGGAGAAACAAATTGTCTGTTTGCATAGCTACAGCAGTCTGCACCCCAGCTTGGTCTTAGCGCTGGCCAGTGTAGGCACGGAACCAGGAAGTGACTGAGGCAGCAGCGGAGGAGATCATTCCTCCAGCGTTGCCTACTGGCTGGGAGGCCTGCATGGCTGTACTCTGAGACAGATCCATGGGCTGAGAAGGAATATCACAGAAGCGAGGGCTAGGTACTGTTTCCCAGTCTGTACCCAAGTCTGTCTCTTCATCCGTCACTGCCTCATCTCCACTTTCCTCCGTAGGCCCTGCAGCCTCTGGCTCCACAAACTCCATTGAGTCTTCCAAATCTGCACTGACCTCAAACGGCCCAGTCCTGCACAAAGAGGGAGAGGGCATTGGAAGACAAAAGCAGGTGAAATTAACAGTATATAATTTAGGGGTTCAAGGGGATCACATTTAAAATTTTGTTACTAAACTTAGAATAAAAAACATGATACTGAATTTCTTTCCTACTGTAATTTCTGCAGTATTCAATTACTGTGTTTATGTTAACTACATTAAATATTGCTTTGTAAGAGACGAAGCAAATTGAGGCTCTTCCTCACCTGCCAAGGTTCTTATTCTCTGGAGAGACTAAAAACATGATGTTCCTCAATGTGTGGTGGGGATGGAGCAGCTCACTGTCTACATGCTGACAAAAATGAAGAATGGAAGAACAAGGCATGAACAAAACTCAGCACTCAGCTCAGGAAAACTAGTGAGAATTAATAGTGAGAGCATTACCTGGGAGAAACAGAGATGCAGGATGTTGGTGTTCAGTTTGTTGACAGCGCGAGTAAATCTGTAACGGCTCAAATTATCACCACAGAATTCACTGAAAAAAAAAGACAACACAACAGACACATGAAGAAAAACTATTACAGTCTGTACTCTGGACAGTCAACCTGGGGGAAAAAAACAATTATTTGATAAATGAGTGATACATAAGCTTTAGCATGTATGTTACCTGTTGCACAGCTTTTTGGGCAGATTGACATCCAGAATATGAGAAAGGATGTTAACAAGTTGAGTAGCATAGCAGAGAGCTGCACTAATGGTGTGGGCTGGATTTATATGATCCAGCTCTAGAAAAAAAAGAAAACAGAGCAAAGCTTTCAGAGTCACTCATCACAAACTGCCTGCAATAATCATTATTTCTCATAGTGCTGTATTCATTATGGATTTTATAATATCTACACAGTTTTATTCATTTTCATCAAAATATAAAAATTCTTCTTGAGGTGGAGACTGGCTATTGCGTTGGAAATTATGAGAAACCTGCTAAAGTGGATCCAATAAAAATATATTTTTTCAACCTAAAAATCACATTTCTTATCAGAAAACATATGTTCCCTATAAACTGACATACAGATATTCGTCTGAAGAATGCTGATCCACAGATTATAAGAAATGAAACTCTAAACAAATCAGTGAGTCAGCCATGAGGGAAAATTATAGCTCTTAGCAGTTTTATTTAATTAAACAAAACATGGCTTTGAAATGTCACTGACTGCCATGGCAACTGTGTTGGATCTAAATGTCTCAATACAGCAATAAGAGGAAACTGATATGCAACAAAATCCATACCTGGGCCTGGATTAGTGCTTTTCTCCTCTACCCAACTGTAGTAGGCTGAACAATCTCCATTGCTGGGCAGAGTGACATGAGGTCCAGTGATACTAATGCTCGTCTCTCCATTCTGGTCATCCCAGATCCACCGTCCAGACATGTAAGTTGTTCGACGGGCCTCAGCTAACTCACTTACAGTGCTAGATGTGAGGGCAAAGTCATATTCTGCCACAGCAGGATCAGCTGGGTCCCTGAGGGCAGAAATTCCAGTCAAAGCCAAATTACAATCTCTAACTGTATAGCTTATAACTATGATTGTGTGTGATTAAAGCCCACATAGGCTGTGATACTGCTTTCAGATGACAACCATCTTTAGGCATTACTATTTTGGGTGGACATGTATCACATTTCTCTAGTGCTAAGCAAACAGCCTGGGGAAGGTTTTTGTTTTGTTTTTTTAGCCAGTCATTGTGATTAAAGCCACCCAATAAGACGCTATAATTTAAAAATACTGAAGGATATTCCCCCTAAACATGAACATCATGGGCATCAGAATAACAACATACCTGCTACCCTGCTTCTCCTCTTGTGTGGGGAAGATGTAGGTGGTAAGTTCCAGGATGTGGCCCCTCCGCACCTCAGCCAGAGCCTCCAGTCGGCCCTGCAACTCTTTAGTCCTTTTATCCAGCAGCTCACTCAAGCGACGGTTATGACGCTCTATCTTGTCCCTCTTTTCTTGGTGCCGACTAGCCCGGCGCTGCAGTCTCTGGCCTTCTTCCTGGGAGCGGAGCAACAGATCTTTGCCTTAAAAAAAGGGAGACAATGGAAACGGAACTGATCATGACGTGTGGAGTTTTCCATAAAAAAAATCAAAGCAGCATAAAAGCAAGGCAGAACTGATGGTTTAAGTCACATTCTCTAAACACTCACCACTCTTCACTTCTTCATTCCCACTGCAGATTGCTTCTTTCAGCTGCTCAATTTTCATCCTGCATGACATGATTTTCCACTTCTGCCATAAACAAAGTGATCACAACTAGCAGTGAGCACAGACGAACACTGAACTCTCTCTTCATTCAAAGTTCACATGTTAACTGTGTTCCCAAATTCCATTCAAATAAGCTACAAACTTACAAGTTGGTCTGCCTGGACCTTCTTGTTCATAGCATTGATGACTCTAAGATGAAAAAGGCAAATGTTTATTCATTAAATGATCAAAGATTATTATTGATAACGTGTTGAACATCTGCATGTTTACCAAAGCTACAAGTGATTTATAATTCAGAACGAGAATAATCAACGTGGCTCACCTTTGCTGAAGATTCTCTTTTTCATTTTTCATCTTCTGAAGCTTTTCCAACTTTTCTGTGTATCTGCAAACATAAATGTATCAATTTGATCAAGTGTACAAAGACTCGTTTTAAAATATGGGGTCAAAACGCATTAGGAACAGGCTTTCTGTCGCTTCCACCATGTTTATTAGTGTATGGCCACAGTGGCCTAATATTAAATCTACTAGCTAATAGTTCTTGTGCATTTATTTCAAGCAATGACGAAAAGCCAACAACAGAAAGTAATTATATAGACAACCGTAGACTTTTATTAGTATATAGCTTTATTCCGCGGAATACATTTAGGCTGCATCTACACGTTCAACATAGCACTTTCAACTTTATTGCTAAGCTAGCGTTAGCAGCTACTCGACTAATGATTTTGGACAAGCTAACTGCTAGCCACTCCGCTAAGACAGGCAACAAAGTTCGTTTTTTAGGATTTAAACACTTACAGTGGTTAACCTATAGGCCCAGATGGACACACACGCAAAGAGGACGCTTATGTAGACAAGAGCATATGGACTTCTTTGTTGTTTAGCGCGTTCGTTAGCTAGCATGAGCTAGCAAACACTACTGTTTACATAAAGAACACGATCATGTTAACATGAGCTAGTTAGGTTAGCTAGCTAACTGGCTACTCACGCTAACTGGCTACTTGGTTCTTGTGATGCAGACAGCTAACTACACACTTCTTTTATGCTTAGTTGTTGCGTGGGGGCGTTTTTGAAATGAGAGGAAAACATGAATATTATTAAGCGTTATAAACTGAACGCACCTTTCAGGGTTTCTGCCATCGAAATAAACGAAGTCGCCCGCCTGAATGCACCGAGCGCAGGTCAGCCTCCGTCTCGCCGTGTTACACAGCGGGCATCTTTCAACCGCAACGTATAGCCCCTCCGCATCGTCCACTGACTCCACCATCATTGATCCTGGAGAGGCTGCGATGACTGCAGGAGACTGTCGGATAGGAGCCCGGGCCCCTGCGGCTCCCTCAGCGGCTTCACTGGAGCCCACAGCTCGGGCTTCACTTTCCGGGGGACACGCCATAATACAGCGCTGCAGTGTTCCTATAGGGAAATGAGGGTGCGCTTCACGTTGTATCTGATAACAATTTTTAGCGATAAATGCAGTATCTTTAGGACAAAGCCCCCTCCTTCCCCTCTTCCTCCTACAGGCTGTGATGGTGCTGTTTGGCCGGGCGCTTCTCTGTACCACGTGACGGATGTTGTTTATGTTTAACTGTCACGTGTCGGTAAACGGAGCAGCTCCCAAGTATGTGTGTGCGCGCGCGCGCTGCTCTCCAACCAGGACAGGCGCAGGAACCCAGCACAGCATGGAAAATGGGATCCGATATGCATGACACAGAGTCAGGCTCTGAAACTCGGAGAGGTCAGTGTTCCCCAGCTCCAGTCTTAAAGGTTCAGTTTCCTTGTTTTCCTCCTCCTTAGTCGGTGTCATAAATAAAGCCCCGGTGCAAAAAACAGTAATGCCCCTATACGAGAATTACTCCACACAGCATCTAACATTAACCTACATTTTACATTAGTCTACTGAAAAACTGCTGCCACAGACTGCTTTGTTGCGGCGGTAAGGGGGAACTAGGAGTCGCAATGTTTAAAACACAAATGACAAGCCTTTAAACTTACTGATTAAAAAAAACAACTGAACCCATACATGTGTTCTGAGTCTTTGTAATGTTGATAATGGGAAAATATCTGGAAGTGGCGACCACATGTATCATATTTGGGTACTATTTTGCCTTACAACACATGTATGTATGTACCTTTTCGCCATGAATAGATTAAAAAAAGCTTTTGGGCTGAAATATTTTCTCTCAAAACTAACAAAAACTACATCTAAGGCATCAGGCAACTTCTTTGCATCAGTTTTGTGTAATAACTTTCTGTGAATGAGCTTTTAGGCACTGTAGAACAGTGGTCTCCAACCCTGGTCCTGGAGAGCTACATTCCTTAGGTACCTTAGGTAGCAGAGCCTAGGTCAGCTCCACAGGGAGGCAGCTCTCCAGAACTAGGGTTGGAGACCACTGCTTTAAAGGCGTCAGATGTCTGGTTCCAATCACCACTGTATGACACATGTCTCATCAAACCACTCTGATCACTTCTAAACCATTCAATTATGCCTAACATTAAAAAAATGGTGTAATACCTCTTTAAGACTTTAGGGTTATACTGAATGTATCATGTTACAGGTTGTAAAGGATCCATATGAAAATGGTTGCCATGGAAGAGATGCACTGTGAATAAGAGGGAGTTACCCAGACATCAGGGCTGTCTGTGTAGTGTTGGTGGGAGCCAACCTGTGAGGTATGTTGTTACAAACTGGATCTTTCTGTGAATCATGGGTGTAAATTGTGTTGGTATTTATATCAGGGGCACACTAAAGGTTTTTAGGGGGCCTGGTCACTGCGGGCCAACCTCTGCTATGGGGCCCACCCCCTAAGTAGTTTCAGCACTGTCCTGCTAATGATGATGCTGAATCCCATGTGTTAGAGCAGGAAAACAGAAACTTGTGCAATGCAGGGACACTTCTTGGCTTGAAGGGGAAACACGATTATACATCCAAAATAATAAGCAAAATTTGTTGGCAGAATATCAACTTTTATGTTTTAAGTATCAAAATATGTTAACAGAACATTTCCTTGATGCACTCAAATACAACAATACTCACAAATTCTGACAAAAACATAAATACAAAACAACAAAATGTGCCTTAACAACACAATGTTTGATTAAATTGTCTCTTTTCAGACTTTCAAGAATAGTGAATAAAAGGCAACAGAAGCACCATTTATTTGGACATTACACTCATTGAATAAGTAGAAGTGCACTTTCCTTTTCACTGTTTCCTGAATCCCTTTAGAATTGGGTAGATATTCTCAAAAGCTTCATATATTTCCGAGCGATCTTTAGCACCTGGAGTAAGAATGGAGAAAGCAGGTCAACGAAAAAGGCCTAATTGGTGAAATCAAAACTGGGGCAGAATCTCAAATGGCTTCCTAATTCCCAGCAGTGCACTACAAATGTCCTAAAATAATGCACCCAAACTGCATAAAATCTAATACAGAGCCATTTGGGATTTGTGTACAATTTTCTACTGAACATATTGTGCACTATTTGAATGTAGAAGCCAAAATTTCATAACTCACATAGTGCAACTACAGGGACTAGGGAGCCACTTGAGATTTAGCCTTGGTGTACACTAAATGGTTACATTCTGCTAAGATCAATAAGCAGATGGGAATGTGTGTAAAAGAAAAACTGCATGATTAGCATCAGAGCTAAAAGCTGATTTATTCATAATAGGTGCCTCTTCTCACCTCTTCATACCTGTAAGAACGACTTTTCCAGACACAAAGATCAGCAAGACAATACGTGGCTTCACCATGCGGTAAATCAAACCAGGAAACAACTCTGGCTCATAGCTTTATGGATGAAATGACAGAAGCTGTTATACAAAGGTGAGCATTTATGTCACTTAAAGACAAGATAAGCTGCTTGGACAAACCTGCTGAACTGTTGGTGAGTCAGAACCAGGCCCTCCAGCCGAATGGGGAAACATACGTCACAACTGCCAACCATGTTCTGGATCTTGAAGTCAAGAAATTTGGCTGGAAAGCCAAGCTTCTGCACCACTCGGGCATATTTCCTCGCAGCAAGGCGTGACTGCTCCTCACTGTGTGAAACAGGAGAGAAAACTTAGAAACGGAATAGGAAAGAAAGCTTAACAGAAAAGACAGATACAAGTCTGTGATTATGTGTGATACAACGCGACACTGACATTTCAAAAGATGTCTCTAGATTAACACTGACCTACTCTCTTTAGATCAAACAAACATATTGCAGTATTATGCCACACACAGAAAATATGTTTTGTTCAATTTTTTACAATATATTTTTACACCATTTGAAAAGGCAAGCTGCTCTTTACATTGTGTGAAAAATTTCTTGATGAACAGAACAATAGAAATGGTCTAAAATTATTTATAATAAAATCTCATTACATTAACTTACACTCACTGAGCACTTGATTAGGAACACCTGTACAGCTGCTCATTCATGCAATTATCTAATCAGCCAACTTCATGCAGTACATAAAATAATGCTGATACGGTCCAGCAGCTTCAGGTAATGTCCTCATCAACCAAAAAAATGTGATCTCCGTGATTTTGACTGTGGCATGATTGTTGGAGCCAGACAGGCTGGTTTGAGTATTTCTGTAACTGCTGATCATCTGGAATTTTTACACACAACAGTGTCTAGAGTTTATTCAGAATAGTGTAATAAAATAAAATACATAAATAAAAACATCCAGTGAGTGTCAGATCTGCGGACAGAAATGCCTTGTTGATGAAAGAGGTCAACGGAGAATGGCCAGACTGTTTCGAGCTGACAGAAAGGCTACAGTAATTTAGATAACCACTCTGTACAATGGTGGCAAGCAGAAAAGCGTCTCAGAGTCACAATGCATCAGAACGTCACCATTTACCCATCTTCCAGCATGATAATGCACCATGTCAAAAAGCAAAAGTTGTCTCAAACTAGTTACATGGTTGGTTACCAGATCTGAATCTAATAAAACACCTTTGGGATGTGGTAGAACGGAAGGTTCACAGCGTAAAAGTGCACCTGAAAAATCTGCAGGAACTGCATGATGCAGTCATGTCAACATGGACCAGAATCTCAAAGTAATATTTCTTGTGAAATCTATGCCACTGAAATCTATGTTTTGAGAGCAAAGGGAGGCCCTACCCAGTATTAGTACAGTGTTCGTAATAAAGCGCTCAGTGAGTGTACATTAAAGTTAAGAATGTTTTTCATGTAATTTACCATTTTAGAGATACAGGGTCACAGCATTAGATTTTTTTTTTTGAGATGAAAGATCCAAACCTCTTTGCCCCGGTGCAGACCATCTTTCCAGAGCTGAAGATGAGCGCAGTGGTTCTAGGCTCACGGATCCGCATTATAACAGCAGCAAAACGCTAGAAAAAACAGAGTTTGGACACAGTAGTGCTTGCAATGTTGGAAATAATGTGTTACTTCTAATAAACATTTATTCACACTACTTTAAAGCTGCACTATATATGTTGTAGGAATTTGAAGACCTCTCTGATGGAAGTGTGTCTGCATGCAAATTATTATTTCAGGCTTTACAGGGTGAATCGCAGCAGCACGGAGGCATTTTTTTTCTCCTGACTCAGTAATGCTACTGACTCTAATGTCACCGAAGGTGGGCAGAGTAGCCAAAATCCATACTCAATGACTCAAACAGAATTAAAAGGAACTTCCCAAAACACAACCTAAAAAGAAGTGCACAATTTTACTAACACTTACCTTTGGATTGTACTCAGCATTTCGAGCCTGAAGAGCAATGGCCTTTAGGTCTAGAGGACAAGCCAGATTTACTGTGGACACAATATTCCTGTACATAACCAAACACAGGTTTATAGATATACATAAACATTGTCTATTTACTCATCGGTTACAATCTAACCCTGTTCAAACTGTTCCAGTGACCCATGAATCAAGATACAAAAGAACAATCTTATCAGCATGATCGTATAACATGATAAGCTACAGAAGAATGTGGAACATACCAGTATCACTAAAACAACAGCAAGTACATTCGACTTCTATGAACAGAAGTTTCAACATTTACAACTACTGAAAATCTCCACAAATAAGTTATATGCCAACCAGTCTCACCCAGGTCACTACATGTTCTACAAGAAAGCACATAAATAGCTTCTTTCATCAGTGCCAGTAAACCTAGAACTCAGACCCACCACACCCTCTATGTATTCTCCTATTTGTCCTTACAAACTACAAGTAAATGTCTGAATGCCAACCTCCATGTGCATTTCAAAGCAAGCCAAGATCATGATTCTTAACTATATAGCCTTTATAGGCAAAACATATCTGCGCTACGCCTTCACTAAAGACAGTGCATTGTACCTTTTTAGCATACTAATATATGTTATTTATTCTCCTAATTATCAATCACTGCCCTTTTTTTCATCCTATTGTTGAGTTCTGTGAAATCAGATGACACCAGATGTACCAAGATACATTCTAGGTACATAAGCAGTGCTATCAAATGTGCACCTCTGATTTTTTGCACATTTTCTAGTTAATAAAATGAACTGGTCTCCTCCAGAAAGCTCTGGAACATCCTTGCATTTAATAATTTACATGTGAAAGCCAAATGTCTTACTGTAATTGTGGGATGATTCCTGAACTTTCTGTCACTGGGGCAACAGGGGTCATAGGTGTCATGGGTGTCATTGGAAGGGAGCAGAAGGGGGAGGCTGCAGGTTGAGTCTTACTGGGGTCAGGGTCTGTACCAGATAACTCTGACGGTGGACAGTCTGGGTATATACCACTGTCCTCTTGTGAACTGACACCTGCATTCTCAGGTGGCTCCTCCTGGGCGCTGAGTTCATCAGGCAGGAAGCTCAGGTCCAGGTCCTCAGAGAGGTCTTTCTGCTGTGCAGAGATTGAGGAGGCCAGGAAGGAGGGATCCTGCAGCTGTGGAGGGCCTTGCAAACCCAAGTCCCCCTCAAAAATGTACTCAGATGAACCCTGGAGAGTACAGATATAAGCATCTCTGGCATTATGAGGGTGGAGATCACACTACATGGGTACAAGTGCATATTGTAAAATGTGTGTTTAAATATTCTCTGAGTGCAGTTTGTCGTCTGTATCCAAAGAAATTGAAAAATGAGTTCAAGATATTAACTTACAGCAATTGACTGGTCAAAGTAGCTCTCAAGCGATGCCTCTTCATCCATATTTCACAGGGTCCATCAAATTATTGTGAATTAACCGACAAAGTAAAGAGGCTGTAGGAGCTATCAAACTCTGTCCGAGGCCGTTCCAAACAGGCCGCGTTAATTGCTCAGACTCTCACTAATGAGCATCGAGTGCGAAGAGTGACGTGACAAAACGTGCAGACGCACCAGCATCAGTTAAGCAGCCTCTTTTAGAACAGATACACATTCGTTTAACATGTAAACGTCCCCTTTTTTTACTTGTACGCTGAGAAAAATGTAATATGTTTACAAACAGTGACAATATAGTCTCCACCCACAAGAGGGAGACAATCCTCGTTTCGAGCAAAAGTAGTTTCGCTCTGTCTGGCTTTGCTTATCCGGAGAATGTGCAGAGAGGAGAACCCCTCCCCTATGGGAGGCAAATCCAGCCAAAAAAAAGAAATTAAAATTAAAACAATAAAATGTAAATGCAAACCACTTTTTGCCATTTCTTTTTCCAAACATCTGCGCAAATATCCTGCCAAAATTGAAAATGAAATGAAACACCTACATTTGCAATTTCATTTTTCACATGAGCACGAGCCATTTGTGACAAAAATAAAAATAAATGTAAAACACCTATTTTTCATTTAATTTTAGTCGTTATTCTGGTTTTTCATGGCCAAATCTAAAGTTAAAAAGCTAATAGAGAAACGAAAATCTTCACTTTGGTTTTGGCTTTTCTTCATGAAATGCAGAATACGTGTCAAAACTAAAATCAAAATGCAGTGTTTATGTTCTTATTTCTTTTTCACAGCAATCGGCTGCATATCTGACAAAATGAAAATGAAAATGCAAAACTGATAAATCAACAGCAAAGTGACAGTTTGTGATTCATTTTTCGGCGTCGGCGCGCTTTAAGTGTCAGAATGAAAAGGCAAATGCAAACGAACATCAGCGCCACCTGCTGGACTTTTACTTTACATTTTCCACTTTTCGTTTTCGTTTTCAAACTGACCAACATGCACGTATATGTTAATTAGCACTGGGCGGGGCTACGGGGTACATTTTAGGACATCCTTCTGACCTCCGAGGCAGAACGGCATCATTCCTTAAGCTAAACGACTTCGAGTCTCGATACACCATCGTCATGACTCAGATCTGGTGAAACTGAACGTCAGCACAAACGCCGTCAGACCAAACGTCATCAGAGAAGAGGTATCAGACCAAATGCAGGCCTGGTCGAGCATATAGTGGTTCGTATAACTTCGAAAACTATTATGTATTTCGATATAAATGCCAGTATAATATTTCCAGTTTTTTTTTCTGCCGGTGTTTGTGCTGACGAGAACTGCCACTCAGTAACGTCTTCTGGGTTTGTCACACACTAGAGGGAGCTCACGAGCGAGTCCAAAATTAATGGGTTAATATAGAGCATTTAAGCAAAATCATAATTTGAAAATGCTTAATTTAGCAGCAGTAATGCCAACCAGTCAGCACAAAGCACCAGTAATGCTAACCAATAAGCACTCAGTAGCAGTATTGCCAACCAATCAGCACTAAGTAGCAGGAATGGCTACCAATCAGCACTTAGTAACAGTAATGCTAACCAGTCAACACAGAGCTGCAGTAATGCCAACCAGTCAGCTCTTAGTAGCAGTAATACTCGCTCCCTACTGCCAAAAATCTATGTGCTGTAGAAAAAAAGGAAACATACAGGTACGGTTTCTTTGTTTTTTTAGTGAAATACATCTTTGTTCTTTCTAAACGAAGTGTTTAGAAACGATTTTAATTTTTCATTTTTAGCCCTTTAGCTCTATTCACCCCGTTCATTGAGGACTCGCTCGCGAGCGCCCTCTGGCGTTTTGCAGTCATGTTTCTGATACAACGGGAGAAACAGGAAGTAGCCAGGATCCCCTTAAACAGCGTTGCTCTCCGCGCAAGAGCGGAAGACGTGAAGAGCAGCATGACACTGAGCGCATGTTTTGGAGTCTAATATCTCATTATTATGTCTAGGCGGCGTCTGTATGTAATGTAGAGTGGCACTGATAAGCCAAGTGTCATATCTCACTCCACTAACCTACATGTTTTATTAACCTGTGCGTTGGTGTGCTTTATGAATGCTTTCTAATCTGTCGTTGGATTCTTTGCTTTAACCAACATGATATGAGATGTTAGGCTATGGAAGAAGTGAGGAACTGTTTGAGACATTTCCCAGAGGAAGCCCGTGGTGAGTGAATTGCACCCAGTGGCTGCTTTGTGTCATTCACAGTGAAATGCTGGATTTCAGGTTTAGCCTACGTTCCCACAGTTCAGTGCGTTATAGGGTTCATCAGCCTCTTCTTACAAACCTCGAAGTGCTACATGCTGTAGTTATGTGCTCATTGTTTCATTTCCTTGTGTATTATTCTGAACACGCTGTTCTGAGACTGCACCACAACCCACATAATGTTTGGTCAGGTGATGGCCCAGGTGGCCTATGGTGGTCCCAGTCCCAGTGATGGACAAGGGAGAGGTTGCCTGACCAATATCCACACACACTCACTGAGCACTTCACTAAGTACCCCTAGCTTATATCTGTGCTCATTGTCCATGTTATCAGCTCCAGTTACCATTTAAGTGCACTTTGTAGTTCTACAATTACAGACTGTAGTCCATCTGTTTCTCTGCACACGTTGTTAGCATTTCTTTACCCTATTCATCAATTCAGCAAAGTGTCATTGCTGAGCTGAGAATAGACCACCAAATAAAAATATCCAGCCAAAAGCTCCTTTTATCCAGAATCTGACCACTGATGATGTACACACGGTACTGCGCAAAGTCTTAGGCACCTAAAGGAAGTGGACTTATGAACCATTTGTTCCAGAAGCAGTTGGGCTTTTGCTTGTCAAATCACCTTGTAATATTAGAATAAAGGATGCAAACAAACAGTAATAAAGGAAAAAGTAACAAGAATTATTTATTTTCACAAAAGTAGTTGATATAAGCTGGTCAGAAGAACAAAGATATACAATAACATACATAAAATCAATACTTATTGTATTATTATTTATATATATTCTTGATGTTTTTCTGGGCAACTAAATGCTGACTGTCCAGTTTAGTAGCTTTTTAAAATATAATCTTCTGGTGCCTAAAACTATATATATATATATATAATGTATGTTTGCATGTATATTTATACACACACACACACTCACCCAGATACACTGCCATCCAAGTGATATTCTACAGCTGTACAGTTGGCTATCACTGTCATTCATCCCTATCTTTTCAAATCATTAAGAATAATATTTTCCATTGATGGTTCTTTGGAAATCAACAGTGTGTTGTTAACTCCTTAGAGCTTTATTTGAACGAGTCAGTGCCGTACCTGGATGGGCCCGTCTCTCCACTACAGTTCTATCGTGACTGGATTGGTCCTAATAAGCCCTGCATCATTCGCAATGCCTTCAGTGACTGGCCAGCTTTGTCTAAGTGGAACCCTGCATACCTCAGGTAAAAAAAATCTCTCAACCGTTTTTGGTTTCTCCTTATTTCCTACATCATTTCTAAATGTGTCTTTATGTTCTTTCAGAGAGGCTGTTGGCTCTAAGGTCATCAGTGTGGCTGTGACTCCAAATGGCTACGCAGATGCTGTGAATGGAGACCGCTTTGTGATGCCTGAAGAGCGCCAAATGACCTTCTCCTCGCTGCTGGACATTATAGAGGGCAAGGTGAAGAGCAGCGGTGTGTTCTATGCACAGAAACAGTGCTCCAGTCTGACTGAGGAACTGCCACAGCTAACAGAAGACGTACAGACTCACATCCCGTGGATGAGCGAGGCGCTCGGTAGGTCATGTATCACGCCTCTGCTCCAGAGCAAGAGCACACAGTAACTCCAGCAACATGGAAATGCATTGGTTCTCATGCTGATTTGACTCTGAGAGTTATTTTTAAACACAGTTTGGCTCTCCATGGGCATTTATAGCAATGTCCTCACATCTCCTTCCAGCTGCTTGAGCCAAAATATGAGTGTGCTCGATCTGCAGTTTCTGGAGTCTGTCTCTCTTCTGCAGGTTTTGTTTTACCAAGTAGGAAGGTGACCACACTTTCTGTGAACTCACAGGTTGCACGTTTAATTTAAATGTTAATATGTTTTTTTTTTCCAGGAAAATTACCTGATGCTGTAAATTTCTGGTTAGGAGAGGAAAGTGCAGTCACATCAAGTAAGTTTGAATTCATGTGTTCGTAGTATATTCAGTTCAGGTATGAAATGCCGAGAAACAAAACACACAGATATAAGTCTGCATGATACGGACTGTGTAAACAAAGAAATCTTACTTCTTCTTTTAACAAATAACAAAAAAACAAAAGCACCATTTTCTATTGTGCAAAATAAAATGATTAATTACTAATAGCGTCTTACATCAGAACTGCAAGCACATTTTTGTAAACTGTAAGCCTCAACAAGGGCACACAGTGTCACTGATGCAAAGCACTGTTCTTAAGAAGCATCAGATATATTTAACTGCTTCAGTTCCATGAGGTGCTTCTGTCTAAAAACAAAATTCCACAAAACAGAACAGCTTTTTCTATATGTTTAGGCAGAGAAGCCACAAAACATCAGTAAATGTGTATTTTTTTGCTTTCAATATAGGCCTACAAAAGAATAAATATATATTTAATTTCTGAAAATTAATTTAATTTACAGTGCACAAAGACCCCTATGAGAACCTGTACTGTGTCATCTCTGGAGAGAAGAAGTTTATTCTGATCCCTCCCACTGACCGACCTTTCATACCATACGGTAAGAAGTTCTCATTCTTTACCTGTTTGCTTGTTTGTTTATTTATTTATTTGTTTAATCTCTTCACCATCAGGCTGTCTGTTAGATGCATTTTTACACATTTTTTTTGCAGTTCCTGCTTGATTCACAGAATATCTGCTTTAATCCATGCATTTTTTTCAGTCGTCAAGAAGCAGGACTGATTATACGGTGCTGATTTTGTTGAACATTGTTCTATATTTGGGTGTCCCTGTTCAAATTACATGCAAATAAATACACATCCTCTACACAGAACACACGTCAGGCACATTTTAGTGTATCTAACATACTGGGGGAACAAATCATAAAAGGTGGCCTTTGCATGACACATTTGTTCTGTTTCATTGTTTTTCAGTATCAAGTCAAGTAGTCTTCAAAGTCAATCCTCATAACTTGTAGCGTATACTCTGGAACACAGTGTTATTCCAGTGAATACAAAATAGATCATAACTCAGTTGTACTGATATTGGTTAAAGCATAGCTATGTAAAATTTCTTAAGATTTCTTCTAAAAGATGTAGCATTACTGCAACAGGAGAAAAAATGTTTAAAATTTGGTGTCTGTGTGCTGCTTTGTGCTGCCCTGTAAAGCATGAAATAATAATTTAAAAGTCAGATGTTGGATCAGATTTCACATGAGTTTTTCAGACCTCATACATCTGTCTTTATGTATTAATCTCACATCCACAGACTCAGCAATGCTTTTTCAGCATGCTCGCAAACATCAGATAAATAGATATGGGATTAGAAACAAATCAATAGAAATTGGGCGCTGAAATATGCAGAAGAAGTCCATGTAAAATGTTCTCTGTAGAGGATGTGTTAACTTATTTTCACTTAGAAAATCAACAGAACATGTCATTTGAATGGGGGGGGGTGTTCAAATGTTTGCATGACTTTATATCACTGGGGGGAATGTATCCTTATTAAACTTGGACTGAGATGATGTGTGGTCATATGGTTTTGTGTTTGTGTAGAGCTCTACTGCCCAGCTACATACAAACAGAAACAAGATGGCAGCTTTGAAATAGTGGATGAAGAGGATTCAGAGAAAGTAAGCCTGACAGCGACAGAGATTTTTTAAATACCTATTTAGAATAATAGTAATTAAAAAAGTAACAACAACAAAAAAAAACTGTCCATCAGTCACTCATATGTGGTACAGCTAGGCAGCTCTCTCTACCACACTGTCTGGCCAGTTGTTAGTGAAATGCACTCTTTTCTTATCAGGAATGATTATAGTACAGCCATCTATCTTAAAATCTCAAAAAAGCTATTTCACCACTTTAGGTGCCTTGGATTCCCCTAGACCCTCTGAACCCGGACTTGGAGCGCTATCCATCCTACAGACTGGCCCGGCCACTGAACTGCACAGTCAAAGCAGGAGAGATGCTTTACCTCCCCTCTCTCTGGTTCCACCACGTCCGCCAGTCTCATGGATGCATAGCAGGTACTGTAGTGGGAACTGGAGTTCTCTTAGGGAGAATTAGAGAGAATTAAAGTGATTCCAAGATTAGGGTGCCATTTAGCCCTTATGACTCATAGAAATTATCTTTTAGAATATTTTTTAACATTATATTTAAGTAAACAGGCGTTTTTAAGGTTTAAAGGACTCAACTGGGTAACAGCGTTAAGGTTTTCATCATAAAACTTGCAAAAATACAAAATATGGTTAACTAGCATTCATGCTAACAGCATGAGAACATTAAAGAGCCTTCTAATGATTTAATTAAAATGTTTTTATTTAATGAATCATTTATTTTCAGTCCATAATTTGTCTTCAGGAAGTTAGAGTGATGCAAATTCCTGTTGAATGTGTTTCTCGTGGAGAATTTAAAATATTTCATATGGGTGAATGTAATCAGGTAACAGCGTTGAAGGACTGTATGAGTGAATGTTGAAGGACACAACTAAAATGTACATTTTTCATAGGCTAAAATTGATGACTCATGGCAAAGGATGTTTTAAGCTTGAGGCGTTAAATGGATTTGCACATTAATGCAAAAATAATTTCAAGGTGAAGTGTAGTTACTGTCGCAGGAAAAATGGCTTACAATGTTTGTGTGGTAATTTATCTGAAACATGCACTTAAGTTGTCAGTAACACACTTTACTGATGTGTAAAACTTTACATACATATCTAAAATAAATGTATGGAAATGTAACATCAGTGGGGCACAAATTACATCCTGATTGTAGGAGCACCCTCAAAATGGTCTGGGCCCTCTTCAGTCAGCATTACTGACATCTCATTATTAATGACAAATACAGATGTAAGTGGGCATGAATTTCAGTTAATATAGAATTACTTGTGCTTCTACTATTATCATATGGCAAGTATTTGTTATTCCCTGAAGTAACACCTAATAATGTGTAATATGTTTGTTCTCTCTGCAGTAAATTTCTGGTATGATATGGATTATGATATCAAGTACAACTACTTCCAGCTGGTGGAATCTCTAACTGGAGCTGTGGGTTCAGTATGATGCCTTCACCACAGAACCACATCATCCCCAAATGATTCAAACTTTAGAAGTATCTTATAGTAATCTTTTTAGTCCCACTCAGACCAGTGCCGCATAAACAAGGATGTTGTGAGGGAGTGTTTCTTGATTTCCTTTCCTGGACAAAAAGTGTTCCCTTTACTCTTAATGAGTTTTGTAGTATAACTTTTCAAACTTAGATCTTTGCAGTGGAATTCCACCAATTTTTTAACATTACCAACAGTTCAAATATAAACCATTCAGACTGGTTTAATGTGACATGCGCCATTTCAGAATTGTTCAGTGGAGGTGATAGAAACCAGACATTCAAAGCGTGTAAGCCCTCTAAACTATTTTAATGGACAAAATTATTTATTCTAAGACTAGGCTTAATACATAACTGGGTAATTGGCCCAAATAGTCAAATATTAAAAGGAAATAAAAAAAAAAGCTCTGGGTTGGTTGTGTTCATTGGCCTGTTGATGTCAAAGTACTATCATGTGCAATAAATAACCAGAGTTGCTGTATAATAAATACAGTTTTATTCACATGTCTGAGTTTTTTTTTTATTTTGTCAGAGGATACTGAGAATAAAAACATAATTTAGGAGTGGTACAAAACAAACAAGCCATGAGTTTGGCAAACAAGCTAATGAGAAACAGTCTTATAACCCTCTGGTCCACTTTTAGTGCTAGCCTACATGATTCATTGCCCATACAGGAGATGAGAAGAGAGCCAAGTAGCCACAGAGGTAGCACTAATGGCCAAGCATCGAATGATTGTTCATGAAGCAAGTCAAATGTACATCCATGCATTCTAGTTCAGCAAACAGGTCAGCCCTAAAGTCCATCGCTCTTCATGCATACAGAGTATATTCATGCTAGCAGTAAAGTAACTCTCCTACCACTGGCTTTAAATACAATCCTACATCTTCAGTTCACTCTCAGGTTACGTAAGTGATTAATATGCTTACTTGATTGACTTAAGTTTGAACGAAAGATTTGCTTGTTTATTTGCTATTATTGGTCTCATGCATATCAATATGTTCATGTTAAAATTGTTTAAATTGCACTTTTTGTACTGTAAGTGACAAACAAGAAGAATGTTGGAGATCAAAATTATGATACCTGAATAGTCAATTTACTCATCACTGTATGACTGAGACTAAGCAGATGTATGCCAATACAGCTTAAACTGAAGACTCCTCTCTACCAGGAGAGGATATTATTGAGGCTGGACTGGATTGGGACTGTTGGGTTTTGATCTCCAACCCTGGTCCTGGAGAGCTGCCTTCCTGCAGAGCGCAGTTCTAACCACAATTCGCCACACCTGCTCCAGCTAATCAACCTCTTGGCTGGGCAGCTTATTGGATACAGGTTGGAACTAAACTCTGCAGGAAGGAAGCTCTCCAGGACCAGGGTTGGAGACCACTGCTTTAGATTAATGCTTTGTTTTGGGCACAGAGAAAACTGTTGTGTTGAAGTAGTTTTGCAGTGCTTTGATAGCTGCACTGAGCACAAGCACCATATTCTGTAACAGTATGAGAAAGTCAAAACAGTATACAGTACACATAGGTCCAACAGAAATACAGTATTTCTACAGTATCACAATCCTATCACCTTAATTACTATTATTCTAGAATGAAAGTGCTTCACTGCACATCAATATTAGCTTTACCGTTAAGAAAAAGGAGAAAGTTTGTGCCAGCGGCTAGAAAAAACATCTCAGCCTAGATGTAGTGTCTCATAAACTAGTCTCAGGGATTTAAGTACACTTAAAGGGGAATTCCACCAATTTATCACAAGTTCTGCATAATTCAAGTGATGAGATGTAAACAAAGTTATTCAGAGTGTTTTGATTTGAAATGGTGCACGTTGATAATAGTAAAATAATGGTAAGTCTCCTTTGGGGACTAGTTTGTATCTCAGGTGTCTGGAAAAATATTTATAACCACTTATTTTAATAACTGTCAGTGAAGTAGCCTTTACAGGCATTAAACATGTCAAATGTGTGCTTCCTATCATTGCTGTGAATAATTTGACTCAGTAAGTTTCTCTTGAGTATTTCACTTCAAATCACTCTGGACTTTTTATCTGAACAATTTAATTATGCAGAAAATTTAATTTTGAAAAAAATCAGTGGAATTGCCCAGTGTGAAGTGTGAAATTATATTTTATTAAAATGCCCTACAGTCTAGGCTTAATCTAAACCTGAGAAACAGGGCCAAATGTGAAAAACTTTAGTGGTAATTTTGTATTTTGGTGATTAGAGGGTCAATTTAATGTTTTGCCTTGTGATAACCTAGCAGTAGGGTGTGAGGTCCCTGTCTGTGTCACCAGAATGATTTGTCTCTATTCTGTTAGATTTCTATGGCAGTTGAGTCTAAATTTGCTGTCTGGAATGCATCATATTGAGGAAGACAGCATCCAAACAGCATTCAAAAAATGAAACGTCTTGAGATTTAACCTTTAACAACAAATTGCTGGTTATAAATTAAGGCACCCGCATTCTTCAGACATTTGCCATGTCGATTTTAAGTAAAAAAGAAGTCTCAAACGTGTACAAAACTGTCCTTCAAAATTCATGCATGACATTTGGATGCGGTCATCTTATAAACTCCTCAGTATATTGTTTCCCTCTCTAAAGCAGATGTCTTTCTCATGACACTCCACTGGCACCATATTGACACTAGGGGTATCCAGTATCAGAACATACACTCACTGTACAACACTATTTAGGGATCAGTAACCCCAGCTATTGACCCATCACATGAGAATAAATACAGTCACACATCTGCAACAAACACAACATACATTATAAAAACATCCTCAAGATATAAATGAGAAAAAAATCTGGCTTTTAAGACAAGTAAAGAAGACTGATTCCCTCTGAGAGAGAGCATTCTATAAAGTTCTGAAAAACACCTGTCACTTGCTTAGAGATCTACTCAGCAAAAAAAAGAGTCCATCTTCAAGGTGGTGGGTAAATTCTGGTGAGTCAGGGGAGTCCATTTGTCATTTAGAAGCTGTAACAAGCAAGCAAATCTCACCTCCCTCAAGACGTGAGTCTTTTTACAGTCCGTCATCGCTCCTATCCACAAACATCCAGATATACTGTTAAGTAAAAGGGCACAATATTTGGCAACGAGGTGAAGTGGAGGAGTGGAGAGTGCAAGCAAAAGCCTGCTAAAAAGGGAGGTAGGGCGGTGAGGTTAAAGTCTGTAGTGCATTCTGGCCATGCTGAATTCTCCATGGTCCTGACGGACAGAGCCTGGCCATCATCAGTATGTAAGTAAAGATACGACACACTAATCAAATTCTCCTTGTGCCCACCACTGAACACTAACTAGTCCAAAGGAAAGAAGTTGTTTTCCACTCTTAAAAAAAAGAAAACAACAATCCATACAGTCCTGATTTCTGGAACTTCTTTTTAATCTGTTCATTAAAAAAACTCCTATTAAAAGAAACCTGCGCAGAGTCATGGCCTGGGATCCGGCCTCAGCCTCAGTGCTCTGATCCAAAGAAAAGGAAATAAAAGAGTCAGATTTTACTGTCCATCCTCTTTTCCACAGCCCTGAGGAGGAGCTGAGAATACTGCTCCAACAGAGCCAGCGTCCGATCCTCCCCCACGCCCGCTGCCCTGCTGCCCAGCATGCACAGGGAGCTGCTGTTGGAGCAGGGCAGCGAGTTCAGCTCAGTCCGCACTGCATCGAACGCATCCGTCAACACTCGAGCCATCTCCTGCTGCTCCTGAGTGGAGTCTGTAGAACTGCTCAGCTGCATACACATATAGAAAGCGAGTTAAGGCAGAACAATATGACAATATTATACATAATAATCATAATTATCATCAATACTTCCTCCTGTGTGATCACAAGTTTGAATCTCAACAATACTGGCACAAGCAAAAACGACCCTGTATGCTGTGTTGCGCAGTATGTGAAATTATGAATAAAAAACTAATTTTACTCATCATTTGATAGCATTTTTAAAATATGCTGCATTGTGGCTGTTCCGAGGCAACAATACTTCATGTTGCCAAGATATGACCGCTCTTTGCTAACTGTTAGTGTTAGACGTTAGCATCTTTTATCCAAAAAATGTCTTAAGAAGGCTAGCATGCTGAACTTACATACAAAAGTACTGTACTTGTACACAAACCAGTCTCTCTCCTCCATTGTTTTCTGCTATTTTCTACTAACCACACCTGTGCTGATACAGGATTATGGGATATGTAAGGCAGCAAGGAATACATCTGCACTGCATTGAATATGCTGGCTATTATTTGGGTTGTGATAAGCAGAAAATGCAACCAATTTCTAAGACTGAACTTTGGAGGCATGGAAAGATATCCTTGCAGATTTCTTTGAAAAACTGAAAGCAAATCTACGAAAAGAATGTAAACTGTATTAAAGGTTGGACACAATAAATACTGAAGATACTGGCATTATATTTAGTTGTTTAGGCTTCTGTGTAATTTTCTGTTAAATATATACTTTCTGCTTATTTCCTGAGAAGAAAAATTAATAAATTGTACTTAATGGCTGTTCTGAGCGGAAACCACACAAATGAAGAGTCAACTCTTGACTTTTGCCCAGTACTGTATGTTTGATATGATAACAATAATGACATCAGTTTACAGCAGTGATAACGTACCATCCTGTAGAGATGAGAGGCCTTTTTGAAACTGCTCTGAAGTTCACTAGCCACCAGTCGGCATGAGTCCACACTGAGCGAAGTGTCTGATGGAGAGAAAGAGAGAAGAAAAACAGACTAAACTGCATTGCCAGTGATGACCAATAAAAGCTTCAGGCTTAGGCTTCATCTGAGTCTCTGAAACTAGCCCATTATGTTTAGTACACAAACAGATTATCTCATTTTGAACCAGATAAAATGCAGTGAGTGGACTGAGCAGAGTGAGAAGTGCAGTGGAGAGAGGATTGAGGGGCAGGCAAAGTGCAGTGTTAATGGAAGAGCAGTGAGAGAGGAAGCATGCCTCACCCTTCAGCTGGTAATGGTTAATGGATGGACAGGGTGAAGTGGAGAACATGGAGGAAGTGATGGAAGAGACGGAGGGAGAGAGGGGCCAGAGCCCACTGGTAAAGAAGTGCTTGGGCAGACCCAGACGCAGCGGCACAGACGACAGAACGAGGGAGGAGTGGTATCCCAGCAAACCTGAATCGTGAGCTCCGCTGATAGGCTGCAGACGCACCAGGCTACCCTGACCCTGAGGGGGATGCTCGGGCTTTGTCTCCTCCAGCAGTGGCTCTGGAGGTGCTCTCTGGATCTCCTCTGGCAGTTGCTCCTCAGGCTGCTTGAGACCAAACTGACACTGCTCTCGGGGTGTGGCCTCAGAGAAGCTCACGCACATGTTTGGCTGCATGTTGTCAGAGAGAGGCTGGACTGGGGCTGGTCCTGGTCCAGGCAGCGGACACACACTCACCGGAGTCCTGCTGCAGAGCTCCTCTTTCTGGTCAAGCTTGGACATCTTGCCATTAGGGGAGAAGGAGCTAATGGAGGGCTTATCTGGAAGAGGTTTGGGGATGTCCAGGTTTAGCTGTGGACGGGCGCTGCCCGTCACTTTGGCCTGGAGGCCTTTAGATGAGGAGCCACCACTTAGAGTGGGCATAACAGCAGCATGGGGGGTAGAAGAGTCTGATGAGGAAGGCAGCAGAACTACAGGTGAGGAGGGCTTGCTCTGAGAGACACTTCGTGAGCTGGTCATATCTGAGCCACGGCGGAGGTCTGAGGAGGGAAAAGTCTCTCCGAACTCGCCTACGTTCAGGTTGTCCCCCACGGATACAGAGCGGGACATCTTGGCCATGGAGCTGGTGGTGGGGCTCATGTAGGAGCGGGGCTTGGACTTTGTGGGTGTGGGACAATCCCTGGGCTGGGGAGACACAGGGCTGGAGAGAGGCACGCTGGGAAGAGTGCGGCGTGACACAGAGGGCAGACCACGCTCGTAATGCTGGGGCTGAGGGGGAACCTCCTTAGAGGGCCGTGTGGACGTATCGGCTGAAAGAGGGAGAGAGAGAGAGAACATAAAACAAAAAAGAAGTCATTGATAGTAATTACAGAAACTATCTGATGTAAATCTCTGACCTCACAACTAATTCAGATCATTAAAAAAGAGAAAACGCTATTCTCCACAGAGCTGTGGCTCAGAGGGTACCCACTTTGACATGTCTGATTTACACAGGGGAATACACACAATAAAAAAAACACATTACATTTTTTTTGATTAGCCCAAGAGTTTCATTAAGGTCAAAAAATGTATATATATGCTTCAATGAATTTTATTATAATCAATTAGTAGATGTGGGCAATCTAACAATATTTATCAGTATCATGACAAATTGTGTCACATTACTTCACAATGAGCTTTTCCGGAAATATCATGGATAATGTCAGTGCATAAAGAACACTGACTAATTGCATGTTCCATTACAAAGAGCATTATTAGTGCTGTTTAATTGGATTCGGTGCAGTGCAGTATGTGAAATGTTAAATAAAAATAATTGTATTCCTGTTTTTTGACAGTGTTTTAATTGTGGCACTACTGGTTCTTCTTGTCTATTCTAACATATCAAACCTTACAAAAAAATCTAAATGCACCACGTGTATCTTGAAAATGTTGTGATGTTATATTTTTGCCATATCACCCATCCCTATCAGTTATAATTAATTCTAAAATTCCACAACTGATGCAGTCAAATAAAAAAAATCAGATAAATTGATCATGCATTTTTACACCCCTGCTACCATATAGAATGCAAAAGAAAATAACATGTATTACCTGTTTCTTTCTTTGCAAACAACAAATATCATTCAATTTCATGAAATAAAAAAAAATAATATCTCCATAAGAATGTGTCCACTTCATAAAGCCACATATGTGTTTTATAAAAAGCCATTTCTGTGTATGAGTGGCTGGATATCTCACCGTCTGAGGAGATGTTGTGTATAGACTGGGCTTTCCTCATGCCAGCTGAGTTAGCCTGAGAAGCAGCAGCAGCTTTTGCGACAGGGCTAGTTACTTTGCGGGAGTCTGCAGAAGAGACACGCTTCTTCTGTGGAGTTAAGCGCAGACCTGCGCCCCTCTCAGAGCTGTGGGGCTCCTGCTGTATACTCTGCACCCTGTCCTCCATCAGGGGGCGCACCTCCGACACCAGGGGACGCACCACTCCACTAGCATCCTTACTCTGACTGCTTTTATTTGAAGGGAATGGAAAGGGTTGCCGACTGAGAAATAAGGAAACGATTTTTATTTGGTTATGTTGAAAATCAAAATAATCATCTTCTTGAATATTGTTCAGTTATTTTTGATCCGTTAAAATGTACTTCTATATTGTGTCTTACCAGCCAGAGGAGCTCTGAGAGAGGAACTTCGACGAGATGCTGACACTGTCAGTGAAGTTTGGAGTTACTTGAGTTGGGCTCGCTGGTAAAAGAGCATGCAAAGTTGTAAAAAGGTCCACACTGAAACATTTACACACACACTGATCCACACCTATATCACCTACCTGAGGTGTTGAGGTCTGTCAGGTTTCCAAAGTGTGTCTTGAGGAAGGCCTCCTGGTCTGGGGTCTGAGGTACAGAGGTCTTGGTCTCATTCTTCCTCAAGCTCTCCTCCTCTTCCTCATCTAGGTCTTCAATGTCCAACTCGGACGAGTTCCCATCTACACTCAATGGCTCAGTGGGCTCTGAGTCTGATAAGCAAACACATATCAAAGAATTACTTTGACTCAAATTACTTAACACTTCATTTGAAGGGGAATTCCACCATTGTTTTCAAAATTTCATAATTTTTCAGAATCATAATTCAATGGTTGAGATAAAAAAGTATATGAGTAGTCTGATGTGAAATGGTTCACAGTAGATAAAATTACCAACTCTGATTTTTGTACAGTGGTGATGACAGGAACCAGAAACACAAGCTATAGCTATTTTATTTACTTATTTATCCAAAATGACCAGCGGGCTTATGTGTTTCTTCTATGTCTTTTTATGTGTAATGTTGGTGATGGTAAAATAGTGATAGATGTGAAAAAATTTATTTTTTTTTGTTTTTTTTGCCTTACAATGTCCTGCTTGTACCTCTCCCCCATGAATGGATTTGAAACAGTACATTTTTGTATCAAAAGCTATGCCTGATATCAATGTCTCAGACATCAGGCACCATATTTGAAACTATTTAATGTAACAGGAAGCTTTTAGAAACCTTAAACTCTTCAGACATCAGGTTCCTACTGTGAACATTTCTGACTCACATATCAAACTATTCTGAATTATTATGTTTACATCTTAACTATGTAATTATCCAGAAAATTAGGAAAACTCGTGAAATTCCCCTTTATGCTGAACATCTGTTTGTTCTGGTTGGCCTCTGTTTGTGCCTTTTAGTGCAGACCATACTGCGGGCATGATTCGGATGGAGAACATTTTATAAAACACGTATCAAAGACTGGACAAATATATTTTGACGGAAATTAAACACTATCATGTCGCCACAATTTATTGAAACACTCGTGCAATGTGTGAAACTGGTTGGTGTGATTAGTCAGTCAAGGCTGGTTCTGAACAATGAAATGAATCTTTCTTTCCTATCAACTTTCACTGATTTCACCTGATCTGTAGCCTCAGGACTTGCTAAATGCATGAGGGTCCACATGTCTACCAGATCAGGCAAAATTAAAGAAATCAGATAGGAAAAAGTTTCAGACCATTCAGATGCAGCCCTATTCAACAGCACATAGGAAGCATCACAGTGAGAGTGCTGATAAACATTAATCTGAAGCTGATTTTATACTTTAATTGTACAGATGTAATGGAATAAAACTTCCAAAATCATTTAGTGTATTTATCATGTTTTTATAGCTAACCTTCATAATCTCGCTATTTTGAACTAAAAGATGCATAGGTTTACCTATTTTTTTGACATTCCTCTGAAGTTTGTTGGGAAATACTCTTCCCCTTTGATTAATTTTTAAGCACAACACGTATGAAAAAACACAATAAATCAGCAGTCTCTAAACTTTCAAAGCATATGTGTAGCATGTAAACATAGAACTAATCCTGCTAATATGGCAGAGCAATCCTAAAATGCAGTGTGATGTGTTGATTCCCAAGCCCTACAGAAATTTTAGCCTTGTGTAATAGCAGTATTACAAATGCATGTGTTTAACTTTGTGAGTGTCTCACCCTCTCCAGGATGCTCAGGGCTGGACAGGCGGCTGTTGGAGTAATCCATTGAGCAGGCGCTGTCAGGACTCTGTTTTTCTGGGCAGGAGTTTCCTTTAGGCAGCCTCACTCCATAAGCTAACTCTTTCACCTGGTACTCACTACACAGGGAGAATGGGAAGAATCATTTAGTCAGAGTGTGGCTAGAAGGGCATGTTTTTTTTCAATAACAAGCACATACTGTTACTCAAAACTACAAAATTATTGTTGTTACTGCTATTACTGAAACAGGATAAAAATAAATTATGCAGCTTACATTAGTGGTTGGAATTCAAAGATTTAGAAAAAATGTTGCAGGTGCATGTATGAAATGATTATATTATGATGCTGCTAATCTGCAACTACACAGATTTCAACTAATGTAATAACTAATAAGCTGTAACAAATAAAAAATTTCACATTTCCAGGATTATGAAAAGAATAATTTCAAGCGAGAAAGCTGTATAACATTGACAGAGAAGTTATAAAAAATAATATTTAGAATACCTTACTGTATATAGATAAAGTACACTCTTTAACTTTTTGTTTTTTCCCAAAAATACTGCATAAGACATCTTAGAAATACCTTCTAGTGTCTGGCTTTTAGTACGTCCATCTACACTGAATAAATGATTCAGTAATATTTAGCAATTATTAATATGGCAAGTGATTCTAAACTTTTGAATACCAGTGTATGAGTAATAACAGAAGGCATGACAGTTCTTATGAATCTTCTTTAGAAAAACCAAAAAAATTATTCAGTCTGAGAAAAACTGTAACCAAGACAGAACTATGCTTCTACATGTGAGTGCAGTGGATGAAAAAGTATGCGTGACTGACCTGCCTGCCAGACTGACCCTGTCCTCATAGCTCTCAGGATACAGCACCACAGGCTCTGAGTCGGGGCTTTGATTGGGCAGTTGAATGTAATCTGGGCGTGAGTGTCCCCTCAGGACAGAGGAGTCCTGCTCCTCTGGCTCTGCCACCTGTAGACCAACAAAAACACACAGCATCAAAAAACAGTGATTTAAAATAGAGAAGTGTCACAAAGTGAGAAGTAACTTGGTGATCTTCAAAAACAAAATGTATTTTTGTATTGACAATGTATTTAAAAGAATACTTTAAAATTATTTAAGTGCTTTCTACAAAACAGAAATTGCAAAAAGGAACAATAAGCTTGAAAACATTAATAGGAGTTTTTCCGAGAAACAAGAGACAACAGAAAAGACAACATGTTGATTAACACAGAAGAAAAAGGTTTTACTATGTGTCTGCAGGTGCCCAATTAGGAGTTTGTATATAATTAAACCTGATTAATGTAAGGGATTGTTATCATCAATGTTTTGGACCGACGTCTGTGTTATGGCCGGAAATATTCCTGAAGTTGTTTTAAATGCTGGTAAATTAACATAAAATAAATAAATAAATAAAAATAACCACAGTTTGCTCTCGTGCTTTAGGCCTGTAGTGTATGTCAATTTACCCATGCAGCGATGGTCTGTACACTGTTGGTGCTGCCTAGCTCCAGGTCTGAGGGTAGTGGAGACTCTCTGGTGAGGGCGGAGCTCTTGTTTGGTGAGGAGGGCCCAGCAAAGGACTCCAGCTGCCTCAGGTCCAGCATGGACTTCACCACAAGGTCCACACTGCCTATCCGCCTGGACCAGCGGCGCCTCGGCCTTGGGCCTGAGCCCTCACATGCTGAACTGCTCTCAGAACGCTGAGAAAGAGAGAGCGAGCGGCAATATTAAGAGATCTTCTTTGGTCAGGAGACATGCTGTTCAGTGTGAGAACAATCTTACCTTGCGAGGTTCTCTGACGTAGGAATTAACGGAGTTGTGTTTCTCCTCTGATGATCCTTGCGAACAAGAACAAATCATATAAGAAATGTTCTTTACAATGAAATTCTGGAAGAATTTGAATTCTTGGGAATAACTTACCATTCTCCTCCCCTGTGCTGCTGCCTGAAGACAAGTGAGGAAAGTTGTCTTCATCTTCCTCTTCTATACCCTCCTCCTCCTCTGCCTCTTTATCACTGTCTGATGACATGGTAGCTATGGGCGGGGCACTGTGCACCTCTCTCCTAGTGCTGAGCCAAACAGCAGTACCATCAGTCCTGCTCAGTAAGCACCTAACACTTACATCCACTTAGTTAAATATGATCTAGTGAGAAGTTACAGGAGCATCTGGTATGGGTATATTATTTTTTAGCACATCTGTTGTGTGTGATAACGTGGATATGAATGAGCAGTTGAGTCTGTAACTATTTCAGTGCACATGAATGTATATATGCATGTGTCTGTGTTCTACCTGACTGTGTTATGTTTGTTAGGTGGGCTCTTCTGGACAGGTTTGCTCTTCTGTTTTAGATCAGACAGTCGCTGTCTCATACTGATGGTCAGCTCGGGATTCAGTCTCCACACAAAAATGCAGCTGAACAGAAACATATATAAAATATGATTAAAATACATCTATTCTTGCAAACCAACTTATCATACAGCACAGCATTTTGATACTGATGTGTGTATGTAATGTCAGCTACAGTCTGTAACACACAAAGGCCTGTCAAGATCATGAAATGTTAGTTGACAATTTATTTAGTTGAAGTTAAATTGTCTTTTTGTACATTTAATACAACAATTAAAGTACAAACCAAAAGTGGTCAAGGTGGTTGATTAATTATCTTTGCCTCCAAGCTATCGACACTTCAGATTTCAACTATATCACCAGTCAGAACCTTTGTTCTTCTGGTCCAATAAACGTGTTTCATGCTTGCTTTTATTTACATTTATCTCAACATAAAGGATTAAATTACATATAGAATATCAACTGTGGAAATTAAATAATTAAAATAAAATTAAAACAACTGTAGTAGGCTTATTTAATTGCAATAAGGTAATAATGTAATAATTGTGACAGCAGGCTTACAGAAACATATACAACCAATTTTGAGATCCTACCTGTCTCCTGAAACTGAGATCAGGTGCTTGCAGTCATTGGTAAACTTCATTCCAGTTACAATCTCTATAAAAAGAAAACATAGGCAGCACTTCTTGTTAAGACAGCACATGATATACAGAAAACTGAGACAGGAGTCTACTTTTAACAACAAAGACAGCGGTTCTCATTATCAAATACACCAATACGCTGATATCCAATGTTTTTCATGTACACATCCAGATACGTAAACATTTCTAAAATGTGGTTACAAATGAAGTAAAATAAACAAAACGCAGATATTTTAGTGCACTAGTACAGTAAACACATCATCAAATATGGGTTTAAGATATCAGTCATATCTAATAATCTGTCTGATACAAATATTTATTTTTAAGCAAATATCTGACAACACTGATATAATTGTGATATCATCATGCATCCCTAGTTCGAATTACATCTTGACGCAGGACACTGTTAGCCACTCCAGATCAGAAGTCTTACCAGAGTGCCCAAACATAGTGGCCACACACTCTCCAGTGTAGAAGTCAAAAATACTGATGTTTTTGTCAGAGCAGCTGGTAGCCACGTACAGACCAGAGGGGTCTGTCTGGACCTGAGAGACACATTCAGGTTACAGAGTGGATGATTCATTTTGGTGAAGACATTCTCAACATGTAGTACATAAAAGAAATTGTTTTCCCCTCATCACCCCAAATGCAGTCAATCAGTCAAACAAGGCTGGTGTGCCAAGTTTGCGTCTTTAGTTTTGTTTCTGACACACTATACCATACTGTTATCTATAAACACGGACAAAATTTAGGCTACATGATAGCTTCAACTACTGCTTTAGCTATGCAGTGTAGTTTTGTCCATTTTTATAGTTAACAATATCAAAAAGCACAAACCAGGCTATTTGAGATTACTTATCACCTAATTACATAAGGCATGCAGTTTATGTGATGTTTATTGGTGGTATAAGCTTATACTGCTTGTTAGCTACACTGCAGCCTCAACTACATCTGAGGTAAGGGGAAAACTGTGTAAGTTTCATTAAACTTGATAACTGATATAATATCTATGGCCTGTAGAAACTGTTAGAATTGTTGTATTCATATTCTCTTTTAGAAGCTGCTTACCTTAATGAGGGTTCCATCCTCCCCCTGAGAGCCCTTATAGATCTTCTTCTGCTTACCATTGCTGATGTTAAAAATCCTGTAAGAGAGGAAGAAAGAGGCAGAGTATGGATCAGATAGTAATGCATGCTATTTGACCGCAGAAACCCACTAAATTGCCTGATTTGCATCGATCTAGTCTGTTCTGTCTCTTTATCCTTTGGTCAGTAGGGGGCATTTTAACATTAGCGTACTAACTGCTCGCACGAGACCAGACAAGCAGCGTGCCAGCACAGGGAGGAGCAGGCTAAGTGTTGGATCACTGAAGTGCTCAAGGCTCCACATGTCTTACATAAGGAACAAAGCAGAGCTTGTGCCCATTTAAACCAAGCCTGCACCCCTATTCAAGAGCTCTGCTAAAATCGCCTACTTCCCAGTCTAATGACTCTGTGGATCTGCGTCATCTATTGCTGCTATGTTAAAAGGAACACTGCAAAAAAGATATTTACTGTAAGATGAAGTGCTTTCATGGTCAGATGGACAGATCAGTCTATATCTATAGCACTGTTCACATTTTCTTCTCCTCGGTGCAGCCTGAAGGCTTACTTTAGAGGAACAAAAGCATTTCAGTTCAGAGTCATGTGCTTTGTTTGTTACTTCCTAATGTTCTGCTTCCCAATATAGCCTCTGGCCAAAACTGAGATGAAACTATTTGAATTGACTTTAGTGAATCAGATCATTCTTGTTAAATCCAATACTACAGATTCGAACACGTTCCCTCTTTTTGTTCTAAATTAGGAAGTACAGTGTAATGAAATGTTGCTCCCTTGAGGATAGCGGTGTCCTTCCAAACAACTACTCAGACTAGACTGACTGGCACCAGACTCCAGATTGTGTGTGCGTGCCGTGGTGTGCATGAGCACATGGATCTCAGCATGCTTGTTTCCAACAGATTAACCTGACAAGCTTCTAATCCCGTTCTGCAGCAATAACACCTGAGCAATAATCCATCAGTTTTACGAACAACACTGCAGATGCAGATCATTGTCAGGCACGAACAAGTATAAGCACACACATGCACACGTGTGCTCACACATGCACCCTACAACTGATAGACAGATGCTTTCCGTACAAACACAAAGGCTGTGACAGAAATGGATCCCTACTCCTTCATGAGCATTGCACTATATAGGGGGGGCTGTTTAGTTTACTAAATAGTGGCAGAAATGCATAAATCAACAAATGAATTTGGACACTTTCTCATAATTAGCCTGTGTCACCATTCATCAGTCGCAGAAACAAACCAACTTGAGTTCTTGTGAGGCAAAAAAGGCTTATTCATAAGTGCAGACATGAGCATAACATTTTGAAAAAGTGCAAGGGAAGGGGAAAAAAAAATGTATCCTAAAAATCACTCTGGAATTCAATTTTTTTATTTTGGGCACTAAGAGAAAAATCGATGAAATACTCCATAGTGCCCTTTAATTGCAAATAAGGATCGATTTCAGTTGCATTGCTGATGTTATACCAGTGTTATGCTACAAATAACATACAGCTGTATGCATAACTTTGAGAATTCACAGTGAAATTACATGTTTTGTTGATTCTGACTCATCCTCTGCAGAGAACTTAAATATGGCATTTTTACTAATTTTAGTGTCCAGTTTCTTTTTATTTGTTAAGCATAACATTGAAAAAAATTAAACCATGAAACACATAATGTGCCATAACTTTTACACAGGCCACATTTTATGTTTTTCCCCCAATATGTTAAATTCAAACAAATAAACAGTAACTGTGCATTTAATTGTGAAAAGGTTCTCAGTAGATGTGTATTTATTTTCACTTAGGAAATGAACAAAACATGCAATTTGACCAGGGATGCCCCAACTTTTGCATACAACTGTAGTAATACTCAAGTGGGTTTGCCACCTCAATCCTGTAAAATTCCTGGACACTCGATCAGTGACTTTCCCAAACAACCTTGAGGATAATCCCAGCCAATCAAACCCATTCTTTGTATAAATAGTTTAACTGAATAAAAAGAAACTGCTAACATATGAAAATGCTTGGATTCTGGGACATTTTGTGTGAATTTTCTCCTGGACTGACAACCAAAATCCAACACGATCCAGGAAAATCATGAACAGGTGGCATATATTCAACACTGCAACACATACATGCCTCTCTTACCTGATGCTGCGGTCCTGGCAGCCAATAGCAGCGTACTTGTGTGTGGGGTCAATAACCATATCATAGAGGGTAGTCTTCCTCACAATATGGTGGGTGCGTGAAAACACAGTTCCTTCATCTGTCTGTAAGAGGTTATGCAACGAGAAATGAAGAATATATGAAGAAATGAATGAATGAACAATAAGACTAAGTTTATTACTGATAGGAATTAATGTTTCACAATAAAATGAATTGGTGATTTTTTTTAATCTAAAAGTTAATTATATTGTTCCTATAGGGTAAATCTATAGCTCTAGAATGATGCAGTCCAATAGAGGATCTATGGCTGCACTCACACTTAGCATTAACATGCGTCTTGGGTGATCGGATCATAAGCGGCCAACACTAAGTTTGGGGGGTAAATGGAGTCCAATGTGTCTCGGAGATGAATTGCAATCTGATTGCCCAAACCACCTTTGGAAGTGGTCAGCGATGCATATGACCACATAACATTTGTAATGTGAATGCTAAAGCGTCCAAACAGATGCGTCCTGACAGCAAAGAAGGACCACCTTAATCAACTGTGTTATCACAGCAAAGACAAAAGCAGCTTGTATCTTCGTTTTTTCTCCAGTCTGTCTACAAATTGGGTTATCAATTCATGCAGTCTAAAAATTTTTGTCAGACCTTACACTTACACGAATAAAGACTTGTGGGACACATCCACTTCTGATTAGATCACTATAGATGGATGTTAATACCAAGTATGAACCAAGGAGTAGTCTGTTAATTTGGCTCTGTATCCACAACCCAAGAATGACTTATTGATAATATCCACAAAAAACCTCTCAATAATGGTTACAAAATCATTCTGAGAATTTGCAATCAAAACTCCTGCTCCATCAGCTCATTCCAACTGTAAACAGCTTTACTCTATCTTATTCCAAATGCAAATAGAGTTTCCACTGGGCTCTGAAAGATTATGCTGGATTAAGAACTGTTAGGAACACTTTACAGCAGGTACAGAACAACTGAGCTGAGCATTTAAATAATACAATATAATAATACAATATTAACCCTTAGAAGCATGACATAATCTGATATTATTTCTCACTCACAGCTTATTGAAATATGCAGAGAAATTTAATGTTTGCAAGTAGAACAGGTGATGATTTGATTTAAATTTGACATTATTATTATGGAGTTATTATGCATGTAGTGCACACAGCAGTTTTGTGTAAATGTTTGACTCCTGCACAAATGTAAAAATGTCAAACGCAGACTCAAATCTGTCGACATATTGTAAATTAAATGTAAATGTAATAATGTAACTCATTACACAACTAAGTAATTACATTTAAGCAGTATAACAAAATGGCCATAACTAGGCTTCTAATAGTTAAAATTAAAATGTGGCTTGGATTCTCTCTTATCAGTAGCTGCAGTAGGTGCCTGAGTTAAAGGCAGCAGTGTTCCTTTTGCTGGAGTCAATACATCTATCGCTACACATTAATACCTATACATATTCCACTGGTGTTTGCTGCTTTTATCTGTTCCAGTCTGACTGCCTTTGGCTTGATATCCCCTTTACATTATTAATTTCAGAGTAGTGCCAACAAGAACAGCTGAGGACTTTCAGAGACTTTCCCCTTGTGTCATGCATTTCAATCGACTTCCTCTCTCTCCAAACATTCATCCAAAGGCTATAAAATGCAGTTTGTCCTACTAAGGCAGTTTAAAGCAGCTTTCTCTGTGCTTTCTGTAAACCTAGATTTTTAAACAAGGCTAATAAAACCAAGTGTGTTTGTGCCTACCGATTCTGAAACATCTGTGTAGATTTTATAGGTCTCTAAACTGTGCAACAGTGGCACATGAAACTGCATATGATATCATGAGGCTCAGGAATTTCACTGTTTTTAGAGAGCAGGCTCGAGAAATAGCACACTGATCCAAAAAGGAACCCCTCCCCAGCTCTGAGTATGGTGAGGTGTAGGAGAATTACAGGACCAGAGAGGCTGGTCAAGGTCAGGATACGGATCTTTTATATGCCAAAGAAAGTGTGGAAAAATGTGAATAATCAGTTCTTGTTTCTATCAAGAAGAAGAAAGCTCTTCTTACCTTCTGTGCAGTCCGAAAATAGATACTTTTGTCAGCACCACAGCTGATCATTCTGATTTTGCCATCATTTGCTAGGGGCAGAGAGAGAACACAAAGGAATTACACTGAGTCCATTCTTTATGAGTTAAATTAACTGATGAACGTTCATTATTAGTGAGACTAGCTGTTTGTGTCATGCCCTGCCTGTACAGCTGAAAATGCATTAATCTCAAACTTCCTCATGATTTGATTTGATTCAGAATTCAAAATACACAACATGTGACTGAATGAACTATCTGTGCAGTAGTGGAATAGAAACCATAAAAACAATCAAGGGATATGTCACTTTACTGTATTATGGTTGATTATCATATATATGATAAGCCTCTGAGCTTTGTTCTGATTGGCTGCCCTGTATGGTGCCTCATTCAAAAAGCAGTCCAGGTTGAAACACCCCTTATCCCTCCAGTGTGAATGGGTGGGACTAAACGCTGTACACTGAATAGGTGTAAATGAGTAAATGTGTTGGTTTTTGTGACATCTCAAAAATAATTAATTAAAAAATATTGCAAATCCAGTTTTTTGCAGCTGGAGAGTGAACAGTATGTTTTAAAGCTTTAAGAGTGTTTTATAAATAAATAAACAAACAAGCAAGCAAGGAAAATTCCCTGATATGGGCCCTTTAAATAAAGTGCTCCTTTGAAAGTAAGAGGCTATTAACTGCCTATTTAGCACAAAAGATTCATGTATATTTATGCTACAACAATTTGGTATAGGATTAGCAGCAGCATTAAAGTACAGCCTGTGGTCACTTACATGACTCACAATACATCATTAAATTGTAACACAGACCAGGCAAAATATACATAATGAACCGGCTGATTGTCAATAGCATGTTTGGATAAAAAAATCTGATCATTTACCAATCATGAATCACTAAAAACAATACTTCATTTTTGGATTTTTATGTTTGAAAAATAGCCAGATAATTTTATTATGATATTATTTTTATCATAATATCATTGTATAATAATACATTATTGAAAATTATTGTAATCAATTCAAACACTCTACAAATAATGCAGATACATCGGCACCATTAGATCAATGCGTTATGATGCACTGAGGCATTATAATACCCCAACTCACCAGCAAAGCGCACTGCAGTGATAGAAGACGAATGTTCATCCAGTGTCTGCAGCAGGCCATACTCGCGCTCTGCGTCCAGAACGTGAATCAGCCTGTCTCTGCTTGCTGTGGCCAGTAGCCTCAGACCTACAGAGACCACACAGGCAAAAAAGAGTACAAAGACTCTTACCATTAACTAACCTGTAAAAACAAATTTTCATTACCGCTCTACATGCCACATTATTGCACTGATGCAATAATTATTGCTCTTCTTTATTAGCTTAATATCTGAAACAGCAGGTTGAATAGAGGGCCATAAACCCAAGCAGCAGCATTCTGCAACTCAAGCAACACCCTGACTCAACAACACACTGTTACCCAAGTGTGACTTAACACTTAACAAGCTTCATAACATCTGAGGAAATAAACAAAGACTGAAAGAGGTTCATAAAACATTAAAAGAGCTGGATACCAGATTACGCTGTTTTTCCCAGAATACATTACATTTTCAGTTACCATCATGATTAAAGTGGTCGGTAAACAGATGTCATGAAATCACAGTATCATATGTCAGAAAAATGATTTACATTTAATGAAATGTTCTTACAACAGTGATATCCTGATAAACAATTTACTCCAGCAGCCTTTAAGCAGCAGGGTGCATTCATCTTAATAAAGCAAATCTCAAAATGAATGCTCTCATAATGTTCTAATAGCTTCATAGCAACCACACAAATGGCAATGTAATATTCTTCAATGAGCTCAGCAAAATCCAATTCAAGAGCTGCCCACTGGGAATGCAGCCTGTGAATGTCATTTGGACTAGGGCAATGCACTCGGAGCCTCTGCACACCAATCATTTTCAAAGTCCCATCCAGAGCGAGCAGCTGCATAATGGCAGAAAAAGAGACACTTGCCTGATAGACTGATCCTGAATTTGAAATGGAAATGTGGTCTGGGGGTTTGTTAGTGTGAACTACTAACTAGTTCAGTTTGTAGGCATTGATGTTTAGAAGTCCACTGCCTAACCTAATATGTCTAATATGGCCCAGCATAATATTGGGTGTTGAGTTGGGGTTAGGATGATATGTCAGGCTTGGGTCAGGCTCCAGTTTGTTTTCCAATCAATTTTCAATATATCAATTATCAGTGTATGTCAAGGTATTCATTTTGTATATAGTAGATTTGGTTAATTTGAAGGAACATGTTTACGTAGGTTTTGTCCACTCTCACTTAGTTTCAAACTCTCTCTCTCTTGTAACGTTATATTACATTATCTATAGTTGCGTTCGGAATAGCTCTGAAGTATGAAGAGTGGGTGGATGCAGATAAATCCTGAATTCAGTTGCAGTCACACCGTGCATAATGAGAGGGATGTGTTGGGTTGGTGGAAAGTCACAGCAGATCTTTCCTCTTGCTTCGGGTACTAAGTTCTTTCTGCAGTAGCATCAGTAGCGAGAGGAACTTTAACGCAGTGGGGCCAACAGTTGGTCAGAGGACAATAGGACTGGCAATTCCACAAAAATATACTGATAATACATATCGTTAGTGTATTACAGATGTGTAAAATACCAGACTGTCCTCCCAAGGCATTATTTGACAAACAACTGTTGCGCTTGGAAACAAAACACTTTAAAACAGAGTCTGCAAAAATCCATCTGTTAGTGCATACAAGCAAGTTTTGGACTTTAAATATGGCAAAAAAATCATATTATGATAGTTGAAGACATTTCAACAATACATGTTACAAAATGCACTAGTAGAGCCACATTTAAAAAACGCCAACAAATTTTAAATTTATCACGATTTATCATGGTAATGCTTCAATTTCATGCCTCTATATTTCATACACTTTCGCGATTTGGGGGTTAACCTACAGGCTAAGAGGGAATATGATCACACGCTTGTCTCCTCTGTCTAATGACTGGTGTCAATAAGTTGTAGCCATCAGCAACAAAATATGTGATAATACCCTTAACCCCTGTGAGAAACAAATGTGTGGAAGAGAAAGGGAGAGAAAGAGAAGGAGCGAGTGTGAGAGAGTGTGTGTAAGCACAGATGTGCTGCCTCTCAGCAGGGCTGGATGGAGACACTCTCCATTTCAATTTCACTCTGAGCCAGAACTACACCTCCTACTAGGACAACATATTCTGCAGCCTATTCTACACTGGATTCCATCCGACTAATAAAAAAAAATTAAGTAAAATGAGAATATTTTTAAGCTCAAAATCACATTGACTATTTCTGGAGACAGAATTTTTGTTCATTCATATAGTTAAATGGATTCCTCCTTCTCCCTTCTCCTACTCATTTTGGCTTAAGTGTTTCAAGTTTAATGGCAGACTACATTCTATGCCACCCCTACGAGCCCAATTACACATACCTAAGCCTAAATGATAAGGCAGCTTTAATAAGGGAGATGTTATTAGCTAGTTCCATATGTGTGAGCTAGAGACAGCAGCCAGTATTGGCCTGGAGAGCATCTGCTAAACATCTGAGCAGGATCAGCAGTTTCTCCAGGCTTTGAATATGGTATGCTCTGCTGCAGTCTGCTAGAATGTGTTTGCTGGTCCTCTGGGAAACTTCCCTGTAGGCAGTTCTCACTCACCCGTCTCAGGCTTTGAATACTCCAGACACAGGATCTCAGAGTCGTGGGCCTGCACGTTCAGAATCTCCTCCATGCTCTGCAGCTCATGGATCCTGGAACAATACAACCAATAAAGCACCCTTTGCACCTTAAACGAATTAGATTCTCTTCACTGTGCAGTGTCAGAAAAAAAATAGGAAACATTTAACAGAAATTTATGCAGACATCTTAATAACTAAATGTAATATAAAAATCTATCAGTATTTAATATGCCCACTCTTCATGTTTGGTGCACACTACTGCCACTTTAATGCTTCCATCCTTCCAATCTTGAAACCAACAAGTGACAACTTTGTCTCCCCAACAAAAGCTGTTCCACAACTGATGTTTGTTCCACAACATTATGTTCCCCTTCAAAGAGACAATAACAGTCACACAAGTAACCAACCAAACTCACCTTAACTGCCTCTAAACTTCTGTCTTATGTGCATCATCAAATTTCTAAAGGAGATTTTTCTAAGAAGATCATATTTAAGATTATTCACTTGCACAAGGAAAGTGAACACCACCAAACTGTCACCATCAGATAAACAGCACTAAAAGCTTTCATCTTTGAGAGAGAGGAGAAAATCAAGCTCCACTTTTGCTTCAGATCTGAAAACATCCACAGGTGTTTCTGTCCATCTTTCCACAGTGACAAAACATCTCAGTGTTATGAGTATGGAAAGATGTGTAACTGTCAAGAAGCTGTTAAAGAACAAAAGCACTATAACAACAACACTGGACATCCGAGATGTGGGGTAAAGTTTTATGGACTCATGAGTCTAAATGTGATGTTTTTGAGAAGGCATTGTGTACACTTCTAAAGTCTCCCATCAGTCAAGTATGGCGGAGGATCAATGCAAGTTTGTGGATGTGTAACATCTGGATTTGGTGCTTTGTTTCTGATTGAAGGCACCATGAACCCTGATAATTACAAACAAATTTTAATTCATTATGCAATACTCCTTGAAAACATTTGATTAGGAAGAATTTATTCTACAGCAAGATAATAACACTAAGTGCACCGCTGAGAAGATCAGGATGTAATTATCAAACAAAGAAGCTACTGGTGTTCTCAGAACAATGGACTAGACATACAACTTTAGATACACTAAATACTAAGATCTCTCTCTCTCTCTCTCTCTCTCTCTCTCTCTTCTCTCTCTCTATATATATATATATATATATATATATATATATATATATATATACAGAGAGAGAGAGAGAGAGAGAGAGAGTAATTTTGAGTAATCTGAGTTAATCTGAGGCTTCTGAGTAATTTTCTGTTAAATATGTTTTCTGCTTTTTTCCTGACACTGAAAAACAAATAACTTGCACTATATGGCTGTTTTGACTGGAAATTAAATACATGAAAGCATGGTCTCTGACGTTTGCACATTCCTGTAAGTTTTAAGGTTTCCTCTATACAGTGCGCCAATCAGTTTGGCTAGAGTCCCCGTTTAAGCTCTCTACAGTAATGGCACATTAGAGTGGCCGACACTTCTGTGTGGCTTTGCACATTTCTGTGATTTTAATGTTCACTGAGCAGCCAATGAATCACAAACACTGTGCTCTTTCCATTAAAACCTCAGTGGGTCAATTATCTTAAATCAATTAGCACAGAGGTGCTAAGTTGCAAAGCGGAAGATGAAGCTCCCCCAGGATCGAACCTCAGTGTTCCATTGCGGTCCCCTGATGCCAGGTGCTGTCCGTCTGGACTGACACACATGGTCCTAATGCCTGTACGGTTCTCCGAGGTCTGTGGATCAGCCTTTTCCAAGTTGCTTGAGTTGGTGCAGTCTGTGTCCAACAGGGTTGTAAAGTTATCATCCATGTAAATGATCTTCTGGAGGTCCTGCATGAAGCATTTATATATAAACATTATTGGAGAGCAACAGAAAGAGAGACTTCAAATTATAAGCATGTGGTTATAAGCTGAGCTGAAATGTTGTGGAACTGACAGTGCTGATGACGTTGTGGTTGAGTGTGGCACTGTGTGTGTCCATGTTCCACAGGCGGATGGTGTTGTCCGAAGAACAGCTGAGGAAAGATCCTGGAGCGAGGCACAACTGCTCCACATCACTGCTCTCCGGGTACATCTGAGGAGCAAGGAAAGCTGTTAACACCTGCACGCCGTAGAAAAGCAACATCCACGTCAGATACAGTTGTATGCAAAAGTTTGAACATCTCTGATGAAACCAATTTTTTTTTGCTGATTTTCTAAGTGAAAATAAGTTAACACATTCTCTACAGAAAACAAACTATAACAGACTATATGGCATTTTCTTCAAAATTTAGTGCACATTTTTATTTTCTTTAACATACTGAAAGAAAATAAAACAAAATATAAAAAGTGCCATTACTTATGCATACCATTTTATGTTTTATTTTTATTCAAATATGTTGAATTTAGCAAACAAACAATAACTATGCATTAAAACACATTTTTGCACATTTTATTTTCACTTAGAAAATCAACAAAATGTCATTTGACAGGGTGCCCAAACTTTTGTATAAAACTGTATATTCAATTCAAATGTCTGTAATCCTGAGTAGCGCGAGTCACAAAAATTGCTACAAATTGTCCAGAATAATAACAAACATAATAAATAACAAGTTTTGCCATGGAGATACTGCTAATTAAACAAGAAATACAAGATATAAAAACACATCTCAAAAACGCCCAGTGTCCAATTATCATGCAGTCCAAGACCAAAGATATGGAGTTGGGTTCAATTCAAGGTCATTAATTCATGGCTGTATAGACCTTACATCACTCTTTGAGAGTTGTTATACTATTCAAATGTAATTACTTAATGATTTACATTCTGCATTAGTCTGCACTGTATCAGTCAGGAAAGCAGGGTTTAACTAAAACAACTGGAGCATAAAATTAAAATTTGAAATCTAAATATAAAATAAGTATTGGTACAGGCCAAAAAATCTTCATATCAGTTGGGTCCTAGTTCATACGTTTGGCAATTCTGTTTTATACATGCTGTCAGATTTGCTTCACCTCTACAGCTGAGTGCCTTACCTCTACACTCCACACACACGATGAATGGTAAAGGGCAGAGTAGACCTTGCCCACTTTTCGGAGGTCACGGACATCCCACACATAAAGACTGTGATCGTTGTAAACACAGGACAGCCACCGGTTGGTGGGGTCATAGGACACAGCCACTGTATCAGGATACCGGGCGTCCACATTGTAAGCAAAGAGGTGGCTGATGGTAAGAAATGATGGATTAGTCATAAAGAGAGGTCAAATGTAAAATGTCAGTAAAACCCATACTGTAACCAAACTTCAAACACTGCTGTTAGGTTTTGGCATGCAGGCTGGAAATGGTGTTTCCACTGGAATTGTGTGGTCAATTTTCAGTCAATTTTCAGATGGTAATGCAGACCTGACACACCACAACCCTGAAACTGAAAGACTTTCACCAAACCAAGGCTAAAACCTCTATAATATTGAATATACACAAACAAATTTATCCCAGCATATTACCCATGCAGACCACGGAAGAATACCTAAAGCAAGATTTAAAAAAGATAATGCTCTTTGGTATTCACTAACCACAAACAAGACATAAGGGGTCAAAATCTTTTTCCGGGCATATTTATGAGGCACATGCTAAGCAGTCTTGGGTGTCTTTGACAGAGTCAGTTTGAAGGTCTCTGAAGGGAAAACCACAGAATGCTGAACAAATGACTGGTCAGGCTGCTCAGACAGCCCACAAACACCCTGGATGAACTGTGAAACAGGAGGACAGGCTGCCAACATTGTTTGGAACAATTTGCATATTTATGACAGCAGCTAAGAAACAAATACCAGAAAACCCACAGCGACCCACTTTAGAGGACACAATGAAAGCATTTATACCAATCAGTTGACTTTTAAACATGAGAGGTAACAATATAACAAGCTCTGATTATTGAACACAGTCTGCATATTTAACAAAAAGTACACTAGGATGCAGCACTTTCATTCCTGCATAATCTTAATGTATCCAGCCTTAAAGTCATAGAATATGCACCTAGAATGAACAAATTACATTACTACACAAATAAGCTATTTTAGACTCTTCATATTCTTTGTTTAAAGGTCCTCCATATTCTGACTGATTGCAAATTGGGATTCAATTCAACTGAATTCATTTCAATTCATTTATTTATATGGCACTTTTTACTAGGGATGCCCTTCAGTCACCAAAAATGGTCAAAAATGTTTTTTCACAAAAGTTTGAACACTTCGCTCTTCTGCACTGAGCAGAGTGGACAGGTTCAAACAGTATGAGCAACAGAAGATAGTCAACATGCCGGCCACATGGAACTATTTCACGCTTTCCATGAGGGCCATTACATTAGAGATTTACAATCTCTGTTCATCTAGAGCATCAAGCTCAAAAACTTCTCCATTACAGGTTTGATACCACTTAAAATGCTCAACATTCCGCTCAATATTCAGAATGCAGCAAGACAACAGAAGCAGAAAAAAAAGGCCCTCTAAGCACGTCAATGCCACAGTTTATAAAATGCTGAATTAATGAAAAAATTAACAAACATCAGTGTCACAGTGTCACTGTTCTCTGTTGCTGAGGTTGTTGGATTTCGTGGTGCATTCTGTAACCTACATACTATTATAATTGTAGCAAGTAAACTGTGTATGTATAGTGAGCTCAGTGTTGTCTAATTAAAAGCAGATTTTATCAACAAAAAATGACTTTTCTTTATTATCTTGTATGTAATATGTTTAATCAAAAGCATAAATAAAATAGCAAATTAGAAAATTTCTTCTGGTTTTTGTTTTTTGGCCAAGTGTGTCTTGATGAAGTAGGGAGTCCTGCAGAGTGTGAGTGAAGTGTCGGAGCTTACCTGGCCTCTGTGACAGTGACTATGTCAGTGCCGAGGCTGTGTGGGCGAGGAAGAGTGCAGATGAAGTGCAGATCGGCCGGGCTGAACGCTCGCACGGTTCCGTCAGCACAGCCACAGAAAATCAGCTCCTCCGTCACAGACAGAGAGGTGGCCAAGCCAGTCTGGAAGATCAGGAGAAAAGAACTGAATGTTAGCAGGTTAAGATTCCATAAGTAGACAGGAACTTTACACTTTACCACCCTTTTGAGCTCGGGATCTTTGTACATTTAATTAGAGATGTGGAATTTGTGTATACGAGCACTGAATTGTAACATGAATCCACTGAGGAGTTAATGGCAGACATACCGTCACTGTCATAAGAAAACCTAGTAAATTTTTGGAACGTGCCAGCAATCCTTTGTGTAATACACTTTATAAACATTATGACCAACGGACTACTAGAAATTAGAAAAAAAAAATGTTAAGAAGGTCTTTCCTTTCTATAAAGTTTCAGAGATGCACGGTTTTGTTACCACAGTGACATTATGTATCTTCTGAAGTGCTGTTTGTATACTTGACTGTGTTGATGCAGGTGAAATGAAGATCTCTGTGGGGCTGGCGTGTTTGTGCTTCAATTAGTGCATCGGTAAATAAAGTGGGACAATAGAAACATAAAGAAAATAAAGTAGGACATCGCCTACCCTGTTTTCCAACTCAGACGCATTTTAAACCTAACATCATCCATATTACTGTCTTCAAGACTCGTGGGGAGTGCTAGATTACAGCTAAGAGAAAGCAAGTTAACACCAAAAACAGTTTAGAGAGAAGGGAGAGGGAGCATCTAAATGATTTATCATCATGATCATCATCCCATGACGGGCATCAGATGTCGTTGATTCAAAGTATCTAAAACGGTGATGGAGGTAACGTGGTATTTACTTGCTCAACCTTAATAGACTTTGATACATTTTTGGATAATCAAATCAAAGCCAGGAATGTGGCATTCTTGCAGTTGATGAGGTTTCAGACAGAGAGCCTTTTGTCTACTTTTCTAATGCACACACATTTTTGTCTGCGCGGTGAACAGGGGCTGCCACAGAACCCAGACAGTGCAAGCTCCCACCTGCTCTGAGCGTGACCCAGTTTGGCAGTGAGATGGTGATGGTGAAGCAGATCTACTTTATCTGTGAATTTATTGTGTGTTTCAGCCAGCGGCTGCTTACGCCTCCAGCTCCCTCATCACTCTACACCGACCCTCCACTGTGGGAATTTGCACTTCTCTGCTCCTGGTTTCAACCACACTTTCCTCACAATAAGGTCTTGCTATAAACAGAGCAGGCCTAACTTATAAAAGAGGAAAAATAATAAGGATGCGCCAAACTTTTGCCCCAGAAACTGTCGGCAAACAGACTAAATACTAATTTATTTTTCATTGGCAATGAGAATTAAAAATAGATCATGGTTAAAAGACACTAGGCAATTATACATTGTGTCTTGATTCAACTGATATATGCACCTGCAATGCACCAGAATTTAAGGTTTAATTTACTAAGACTACAGCTTATGCTGCTTTCAAGCGCAAGTGGGGTGGTAGTTTTCTCCAAGGAGGAACTCATTCACCCAAAGTGGTTTATGTGTGAGAGAAACAGAACACTGTGGTTGTGAAATACATGATGTACTTTCTTAGTTAGCTGAGTTGTATCTGTTTTGCTCTATTTTACTGGTGTTTTTGTCCTCAAATGAAACAGAAATTAAATGCACATGTTTAAGTTGACTTGACAGTTTATTACATTTGCAGTTGAGTTTTTCTGATTGCTTTCTGTTCTGATCTTCTGTCATGATGAAAATAGTGTTGACATCACAATGACATTACAATGTGCTTTGAAAATTTCAATGTACAATGAACTTCATCATCCCACTTCAAAGGGCGTTCCTGTGATGTCTTGCGGAAAAAACCGAGACCACTTGAAAGCAGCATCATCGCACAAACTTTGTATAGTCCTGCCCACTATTTGCTTGCTCATGCAGGCTTAGTGAAATAATGGAGCTGTCACCAAGCTTGAGACAGGACAGAAAATGAAAGTATATTGACAAAGATATAGAGGCGTTAATAATTGAAGTTCTTTCCCACCAAAACATTCCACATGAGTATTGTTAGAAAACAGAGTTTGTGAAACAATAACACAAAGTGCATGCACATATTGCAGCCCGCATTACAGCATATTTTGCACCATGTCTTCTCAAATACCTGGGGCTGTCTCACAAAGCAGGATTTATGGTTTAGCCAGCAAACTTTAAGCTTAGTTCGGGCTAAGACTGGATTGTCTGTCTCACAATGGTGGATTACTTTATCACATTACATCACTATGGCAATTTATTTAACAACCTGCTCCAGGGCAAGTAAAGGCTCAGATCATTAACAGCTCCTGGACTAGGATTTATTAAGCCTTGAGTATCTAAATCTGGGTTAATACAGAAAATTGTTAACTACCTTTGTAAAACAACTTTGCCAAAGTTCCATTTGTTAGGTTTTGTGAAGCTGAAACTTAGCCTAGAACTCTATCTCTTAGTCGAGGGCTTCTGCTTTGTAAGACACGCTCCTGGTCTCGAGCACTTAAACGCTATTCTGATGGTAAACAATCTTTCAGCGCAAGTTTGCAGCTTGTGCTTCTGTCTAACTGCTGTGTTTGCTGCCATTGTAAATGGAAGTCTCTCAACACACCTACTGAGATGCACATTAATACCTGGTTTTAGAAGGCAGAGCAAAAAAAAAACAAAAAAACAACGCAAAACCCACCACCAAGAGTTGCTCCAATTTTAGTAAATTTAGCAGAACATGTAATCAGCAGTGCATGTAATATCTCCACCTACTTTCTACACAATTCCCCACATTCCGCACAGTTGTCCTTCAAACAGACCTCTGAAGTTGTGCGTCATTCTGTAGTGGGCAAGGCCATTCAATGACAGGATCCAGTGACATTCAGTGGAAAAAGGTTTGGAACATTTTTGGGTACTGCAAGGTGCGACAGCATTGATTTTTCACTTTTAATTTTTGCCGTAGAGAAATCCATATATAGGTAAGATAAAATGGATTGAGTTTGGGACCATTATGTGATGAAAGCTTAGACCTGGGGTTTCTAATGTGTGCATGATGCTGACTACAGAATGATGACACAACTTCATTGGTCTATGCATACGTACATGCATGAGAAAGAGAAGCACATTTAGCATTTTTCTGAGTGTTTAGTCTTGTGCGCCAGGTTTGTACATAACGTGGACAGAATGTGCTCGATTTGCACCTGAAACTAACTCAGCCCTTTGCAAAAAAAGAGCTTTTTTCTCATTATCTCTTTAGATCATAAAAAATATAAATCAATCTGGCGCTTGGTTTTCAGTTTCAGCGTTTTTTTTCAGTTTTCAGTTTTCGTCCAAGAATTTTCATTTTGGTGCATCACTAGAAACTATTAAAGAATGTAGAAGTATGGGCATGTGAGGTGTAAGTCAGGTCTATGAGCAGTAAACACAGTTCCACTGACACAATGCAATGTGAGCACAAGACAACAATGAATCCGAGAAGGGCTCCAGTAATGGGGGAATGCCTGGGTTCAACTTAGTATGATCACAATGAAAAAATCCATGTGTAAGACACCCGGCAGGACAAACAAGCGGCCACCAACTGAGGTCAGAATAGGGGTACATGAGCTTCTAGATGTGAAGTGAAAGTGGCTGGTACAGTCCTGAAAAACAACTTACTGCGATACTGTCGTTTTTCTAGGCAGTGTAGGAAGAGGAGAAGCAGAACAGACTGATATCAGACAGGAGCATGGTTAATTAGCACATGCAAACCCTCCCAGCCCACAGTTGCTCAGCCAGAAAAAGCACCCACAAACAGTAGGGCCTCATCACAAAACAGCACAGATCAATGAAACAACAAATAGTCCTAAACTCAATGTGTAAATATAAGAAGTGCAAAAATAATACAAAGAGCCAGTCAAAAGCAGTTTCAACTGTATTTAAAGTCATTTTTTCATGCCTTACAAAGGTAGCAGCACAGAAACATGTGAAGAGACTGCAGTTGTCAGAATCACTCACCCTGAGCTCCACCCATTTATCCAGCAGCCTCTTGTCGTTAAACTCGCACAACAGGCCTGAGGAGGTGATGCAGAAAGTGCTGTCAGCCTTCCGGCCCTTGCCACAGGCTACATCACTGAAGAAGTTATTCCTGAGCTCTCCCAGCAGCCCGGAACGGCCCAGCAACGGCACTGTGGCGTTAACCTGAAAGTGACCACAGGTCTGCTTTTATGTTTTTGTTAAAATTACAGTTTTATTGCTTTATTATCTGCGACTATAGTTCAGTTTGCAATGCAATGACAAAAGCAGAATACAGAAAGTAAATGACACAGATGGATGAGTCATGACTATTTAAAGATGGGTCAAAACCTTGGAGGACTTTGCGTGATCCAGGTACCAGAACTTCACATGTCTGTTTCCTGCTGTGACAAAGTAAGAGCTGTCATCGGAGAACGACACGGCCGTCACTTTACTGGACACTTTGTTGGCAGCCACCACTACATTTTTCTGAAAGGGTAATAAAAAGAACTTCATTATCACTGATGAAGGTTTGATTAAACCTCTCTGGGTTACGTGAGCTAACAATGTTAAGCACCTTCCAGGCCCAGACGTTGACGATCATGTCGTGCTGGTAGCCCACGCTGACAATGTACTTGCTGTTGGGAGAAAAGGCCACACAGGCCACGCCGTATTTATGCTCCTGCAGCTCTGCAACCTGAGTCCTCTCCACCACATCCCACACACGCACTGCAGGCATATGACCACTCTACAGTGAGACAGAGAAAGAGAGAAAACAGAAAGAAGGACAGAGAGAAAGAGAGAGAGAGAGAGAGAGAGAGAGAGAGAGAGAGAGAGAGAGAAGAGAGAGAGAGAGAGAGAGAGAGAGAGAGAGAGAGAGAGAGAGAGAGAGAGAATCAGAAACCATGACAGGGAGAAAAAGAACGGGAGGGATAAAAGATTGGGCACAATTACAGTTAAAGCTTTTTAGGTTTTAATTTAATTTCTGCCAAGATCTGGTTTTATGCTAATTTGTACTTTGTGCTCCTTGTACTGAAAGGTGAAGGATCAGTTCAATCTAGCGATTATACAAGTTACGCAACTCAATCAGAACAAGATGACGAACTGTAAGTATCGAGGGCCGTGAGCGGATTTACTGCAGGAGTTCTCCGATGACTCTACTAGAACGTCCTGCTTTAATACACAGAGCAGCCTGACTGCGAGTATCATTCAACACTGCAACCAAACACAGAGGCTGCACTCTGCACACAGGGGAAGCTGTTTGTGTGAGGGTCAACCATGGCAGACAACCACACACTGTGATCCTTCTGCTCCTGTTTTCTCCTCTTTCACTCGCTCTTTTTTCTCACTGCATACACCTTCTCCCTGACTCTCGTTTTCTCTCTCCACACACACATTCTATTTTTCTCTCTCTTCTCCTCTCCACGCTTTTCTCCACTTTTCACCTCTTACCGACAGCAGACACTGTTGGTGCGTAGGCTGGCACCATGCCGCCTGTTGCTACGGCAACCGGTCAGCACACACTCACACTGCTTTCAAGCGCACTGGTGGCGGAGGCTCCTCCTGAACGGAAGGGATTAGTCGTGCACACCACTGAAGTCTTGTGCTGAGCGTGTATGGATCAGTGGATTAGAGAGGCACACAGCTCACTCCTCTCTCGTGTTCAGCCATGCTATCTGTGGCCAAAAAACCCTGACCAGCCCAGGTTTGCACTGAAGGCTCTGATTTGGAACTGTTACAACTCCTACAGTGCAAATGGTCAGTTACATGGTGCTAACCTTAAATCATCAATGTTTGTATATATTTGGATGAAATATTTCACTTGAACTTTGCTTGAACAACTTTCACGGGTGTGTCCTGTTGGCTGAGTAGAGCATTTGTTCTAGATGGTGCAAATATTTAGCATTTTTTCCAGACTGCTACTTTCATGTTACTTAAAGTAACAGTTTAGAGAAAAACAGGAGGGTATGGTACAATATGGCTACAAATCCATGAACAAGTGAATTTGGTTACCCTTGTTGCTGTACCAAGCACAATGACCTGGAACAAATGGGTGGAGCTAGTAAAGGTGCAAACTAAGGCTGAACAATTCACCTTTTTTAATCCAAAATTGCAATTTAAAAGAGTGCAATTTTCAGATCGCAAAGGCTGAAATCTTAATTCTATATATTCTACGTTATTCACTGCTGTCTTCACAAGTGGAAATATTTAATCTAATAATGCAGAGCTTGTGAACTGATCTGAGTCTGATGAGCTACATTCAGTGCTCAGGCCTTTGGCCTCAAGCCCAAAAAATGGATGTGCTTGTCTTCTCGTTCAAAAAACACTTGGAGTTTTGGTTAAAGAAAATAATCACTATTAAATTGCAATCACAATACTGAACAGAAAAATCACAATTAGATATTTTCCACAAATCATTCAGCCCTGGCACAAACCACTAACTGGCCAAACTCAATCGTCATAGTGTGTCAAGTCAGATGACTGCTATTTAAAACACCTACCTAGCCAGAATCGCTCTCTGTGACTCTACACATACACTGACCAGACTCTAGTTTAGTACACCTCCTTGTATCTATGCTCAGTGTCCATTTTATCAGGTACCCTTACCATTTAGCTGCATTTTATTGTTCTACAATTACACACTGTAGTTCATCTGTTTCTCCGCATACTTTGTTATCCCTCTTTTACCCTGTTCTTCAGGAAAAAAATGTTCAGGACCCCCACAGAGCAGGTATTATTTGGGTTGTGCATTATTCTCAGCATTGCACTGATGTGGTGATGGTGCTAGTGTGTGTTGTCCTTTAAGGGTCCAGACCACTGAAGAACAGGGTAAAAGGGGGTTAACAAATTTTGCAAAGAAACAGATGGAACTACAAAGTGTTCTTATTTGGTAAATGGACTTGACAAAAAGGACAAAGAATGTACATACAAGAGGGTGTACTTCATGAAGTGGCCAGTTGGTGTAAAACCAAATGCAGAGTAAAAAGTAAATCAGAACTTAAAGCTCTTCCATTTATGCTACTGATGCTTGTGTTTTCTGATAACTATAATAATTTTGCCTACTTCCATAATGGAAAACAGACACAGGTACTTGGTTCGGATTTGTAACTGTAATGTACCATACTGCATGGTGGAAAAATGATATTAAACAATACACACAGCCCCAAAACTTCCATTACTTGTTAGCTATCTTAGCCCCAAAGGCTAGTATAGTGAAAAAGTAAGTTTAAACCCTGTTAAACAGACTTGCTTATGGGTTTCCGACACTGTGCAGTGGACATAATTCAGGTTTCAGAATTGCTGCTACAACTTGTACTTTTGTCCATTTTAGGGTATAAGGTCAATTACTTGATAACTTCATTAATCTTGTAACTCCAATAGTGGCCGTGCTGTGATTTATGGGCATTTGCTTGTGTGAAAGTTCTCTACTAGAATGTAGTCTACTTTATACTAAAAACAGAAACCTCCACTGATGAATAATACAAAGACTCCCATTGGTGCATATTGTTTACATTTTCTATAATTATATGGCTCTGTGCAGATTTTGCTCTTAGGTTGGGTCTGGCTGGGCTTTTCTTCCAATTGTTCACTTCTCGGATTGAGAGAGGCCCGGTCTAAAAGCTTTGCCTACAGGCTTGGGGATGACCTTGTACACCACTGTGCTCCAGAGTAAAACTAAAGAAGAACACTTTAAACAGTAAACATTATGTTTTTCTTGCTGTTGCTTTAAAAACACTGCAGCAGAGGTGGGTATGTTATCTTGATACTTAATCTCTCCAAATGTTTAAACGTTCATTTTAACATACCTAACATATCTGCAAGGGAGGACCGCACAGTATCATTAACTACAGAAGCCCAAGGGTACAGAGAGACAGCAGTATTGTGTTGCATGAAGCTGCAGTTCATTTTCATATTTCTCCACCTGCTGAAGCTTTATGTGACAGATAAAAGGCACAGTGCTGCTTTACAGTGACTCATTATTCCTGGGCCATGACGTGGAGCTGTGACGTAACCACACTCTTCAAAGTGAAGAACTGTAAAACTCACCTCGCCTGTGACCACATATTTGCCATCTGGTGAGAAAGCTAGTGTGGTGATGGTTTTCCTGAGTTAAAAGAAAAGAGAGGGAAGTGTTTGAGTTATTTTGTTGAAGTGAATGCTTCCTGTCTGCTTAAGAGGCTTCCTGTCTGGCAGGCTAGTGCTCATAACCACAAAGGCAGTGACTCACAGTACAATCAATGTCATGAACATGTCTTCACAATTTCAGCTAGAACAAACATAGAGAATTGGAACCACTTTAATTGTTTGGAACTCAAGTCAACCTGAATGGTATATTAAGGAGAGCTTTTAACAATAGATATAAAATTTTACAAGCCTTTTATTTCTAAGTACTAATTTTAATCTAGGTGTAAGACTTGGCCTTTTGGACTACTAGGGACATCCTAGTGTCCGAAAGCATGTTGAGTCTTGACTCTACAGAGCTAAGCACCTCCTTTTATAACAATGGCCATAACTACGTCTGGAAATGGGTCACATTCCAAAAGGCCTGGCCTCCGCTAAACCACTTTTTATGTTGTGTTCCTTCCTATCTTATAGTGGCCATGACAATAAAAATTAGGAATGAGACAGAAGAATGAACAAACTGTAGTTTTAAAAGTTTTAAACTTGTGCTCAAAACAAGCAAAAATCATCTCTTTGGCCTCAAAAAGTCTTGAACAGCGACAAATTATGTATCATCATGTGTCTTTGGCCTCTTGTCTGTGGTATCTGTAATTTTAGGCCTTTTTTACTGTAATTACAGGGAAGTAATGACTGGTGTGGAAAACTGTGCCAAATCCACAGGATCACAGATCACTCTAAACATACCTTTAGTTCTATTCAGTTTAAATGAATACAATTTACAGTGCACAGTGCTTTCTGTAATAGACATTGTTATGAATCAATCAGAGGCCGTATTACAGAAACTTCCTATCTTTTTGTCTTAAGTTAAGATCTGACAGGTCAAGATAAGATTTTTCACAAATTTGTATTACAGAAGCAAATCTTAAGTCAGGAATCTTATCTTGTGGTGGAATCTTTTTTTATCTCAAGTTAGGAAATCTTTAACTAAGTAACTCAATCAAAGTTGACAATCAACTGTTACCAAGCAACTGACCTATGCACATAGCTGATATGTAAAAACACAGCTAATCAAAATAATCAGTTTAGTTACCCAGACAGCTATCTACTGCTACTGACGTAAAAAAGGCAAACAAAACTAAAGTGCAATAAACTTGAAGTTAAGAATATTGTGTCAGTGCTTTCTTCTGTTTATCAGTGTCGCTGCTCTCCAGTTTTAGTTTTAGTTTCCCAAACGCTTTAGCCGACCACGCTAACTAATCCTAATAAACAGACACACGTTCAGCGCTGTCTCCTTATTATTTACCACCATCACTGTAATATTTTATCTGACAAGTTTTCATCAACATTAACACACGAAGGTAATAAGAGGGGACGGTGGAGATCGTGTCTGTAGTGTCTGAGATTTTTAAAACGCTGTTAGAGAAAAAACTTCATAAGTCAAAGCACCACTTTCAGCGTAGATAAATGTAATATTACTATGCTAGTTGTAGCGAACTATGCTGCCTGTCACCGCATAAAATGATAGAAACAGATGGTTAAAACAGAAGTGAAGACACATCTGGGGTTGTCTTAAAGTTAGAATAGAATTTAGGAAATTTTGTCTAGTTAGGATGTTTATGAACTTAAGAACTATTGTTCTGTAATAGCTTTTGTCCTAAATTCAGTCCTTACTGAAATTGTAATGGTGACTAAACAGATAAGATTTCAGAGTTAAGAAGTTTCTGTAATACAGCCCCTGGTTCTACAACCTATAAGCTTGAGTAAGCTGGTTGTAATGGGGCTGTTGATGCAGCTATGACCGGGAGACTTACCTTGAGTTGTTGAGAATGTGATACTGTTTGTTCTTCTTGGGGTTCAGTAGCACCACCACACACCTACAACAGAAACAGAGGAGAAACACTCATTAACTTCACAAGTCTCAAAGCAGAAAACACACTGTGCATTTATTTTTTGGCATTTCTGAGTTTCTTTGCATACATTACAAAAAGCAAATCAAATATAATTAAGAAAAAACTTAACATTATGTTAAGCCAACCATTTTATTAAGTTCTGTATCCTCAGTGTATTTCTTTATCATCACTCTTAAAACAGTTCCTAAAGGTTCTAGTGACGCACCAATGTGGTAACTGTATACTTAAATTAGCATTATAGAGAAACGTAACATTTATTTGAAGTGGGTTACATATGCAGTAAAATTAATAATATGCAGAAATTTTAGTGCAACAGCTGAGCATCACCTACAAATTTTGTTTTTTCAGAGTACAATAAACGTAATTAAATATTTGATTTGAAATATTGTTCAAATTTAATCATCTGTCAAATGCCTCATCTGCCAATGCCAAACCAATGATTCTGATATCGTCATGCATCCAGGATGTTGGCCGTAGATGGAAAACAGCAAAACAGATATTCTATTGTTTTCCATGAAGCCGCGAGGGAAGATGTTCTGCAGACAGCAGCAGTCAGCAGAACGTTCTCTCAAGAGTTCAACTTTCCCAACCTTGCCACCGACAGCGATGGTGAAATAAACAAGTGATTTTTCTTGAGAGCCATGAATGCCAGAAGTCCAGATGAACCCAGTATTTAAAAGTACCAAAATACAAAGCAGCCTCCTGCCCTTTAATAAACAATCGACACTGTTAAAGCTCTCCTCTGATAATCATTCATTTTACCTGTAACGTGGTCATTTTGCCAACTTTTGCATGGCTTTATGCTTCAATCGCGTACCTTTTTTTTCCAAGGCCTAATTGTAAACGTATCATAAAAGATTCCTAAATCGTTCTTGGCTTGGACTGTTAATTCTAGGGGAAAAAAAAACAACTAGAATAGAACCTTTACATTATGTGGAGGTTCTCTAAACTAAGGTTCTTCACACTCTCAGATTTATAAAGAGTTTTCTATTCACTGAAAGGTTCTTTAAAGAACTAAACGTTGTTCTTCTATGGCACTGTTCTAAAGAACCCTCTGTGGCACCTTTACTTTTCAGAGTGGTCCAGAGAGGCTCAGCTGTCGCTCATACTTGTGTGAGGGGAGTGTGTATTCCAGTGTAATATATAATAAAATAATGTCAATGTTTTTTTTGTCTCTCAAAATGAACAAAAATCTCTAAAGCCTTTTTCAAAGATAAGCTGTTATTGAGTTATATCAGTATGACAGAGGTTCTGCTCTGCTCAGAGCAATTACACAAAGAAAAGGCAGTTACTTTGCTACATAACATACCCTGTAAACAAGGCACACAACAACCTGACAGTCTGAAGGTGAAAATGGAGAAAGATAATGCTTAACCCAACTCCACTAACCTATTTCAAATCAATCATCTATCCCAAATAAAAATACAACCCAACAAATTTCAAACTAGGAAGAAAAGAGGTAAGGAGGAAGAAACGTGTGTGTCTATGTGGCTAAACACCACCTGCTGAAAGTAGGTTAGATGGGTCACTTCACATGATTCCCCTCCAAATCTCGTTATGCTCATCATCCACTTCACTCTATTCTAAGAACCACTTTTTAAGGGGAATGGCTCCTCCACTATGAAGCACATTGCATAAGGGGTCCTAAAAGCTTTGGGAATCAATATTGACCAAATCACCACAGAAAACCCCTTCTGTGAGGTTGACCAAATTACATACTTGCACACTAACTCTACTCTCTGAAATTGAACTAAAACAGGACTTCTTCACAAAACTTTGTTAATTGACAGATATACAACAGGCAGGGACCCAAAAATACTTTGATACAACTATTAAGCCATATCCTCACTGTTATTCTCACACAGACAGAGAGTCTCTCACAAAGTACAGCAGCAGCTTGCTCTAAGCCTCAAGTCTCTACTGGCTGAGTGCCACCCCTGTGGCTCTGTCTGTAAATGCAACACAACAACGTACAGGGAGAAGCACAGGCTGAGTGTTTAAGTGCTTTACTCAGAAATGTGGACACCTTGACACTGTATTCGGACTGCAGGCGAAACAAACTGGACATGCCAATTTGATTCTGCTTTGCAAAGGCACATTATCAGCATATCTAAAACATACAGCTGAAGACTTATATGATATGTAACATGCTCCTAAAACAATGAATATAAGGTATAACCCATTAAGCATTTGTTTTATATACAGTGTAATGATTTTAGACTATTTTATATGTTCACATGTCAATGTTAATCTTTCCTTCATGTTGAGTGAAGCCATGTTTAAATTAATTCACTTAAATTGATTTACTTATGTGTATTTGAAAAATCAAGGATGTTAATTAAGCAACAATCTGAATATTTTCTGTGCTTTTAATCAATGGCAAGTCTCATTTAGGTATTGAAGGGGTAGACTGACATAAATATGTGCACTGGCCACCAAGCCAATGAATTAAGAATTTGTGGCCAAAATAATAGAAACATGTTTATCATTTATACATTGTATTTACAATGACCAAGCATACTTCACAACCAAAAAACAGTCAGTTGTTGCGAAACAGATTTGTTAAAAGGAAAAAACAATGCAAAAAAATCTCAAAAGCAAGTGGCCACTCAGACTAAGCGATCTGCATTTTTAGTAGCCAAAATGTGAAATGTCGTAATCAGGGTAGAGGTGGGCAACATGGTGATATTCTATCATTATCGTGATAAATGTTTTATTGTAATGAACAATATGCTTTTCCGGAGCAGATCAAGCATATCATTTGTACTTAAAGAACACTGACCAACTGCATGCTTCATCACGAAGAGAGCATAAACAGTCTTGTTTAATTGGAATGTGAAATGTTAAATAAAAACATTGTACCCAGAATGTTTTACAGGCAGTTTGTTAAATATGGCACTACTTTAGAATTGTGTCTGTTAAAATACGTGAAATGTATCAGGAAACATATTTTTGCCATACTGTCCACCTCTAGGCAACTTCTACCCCTATTTTCTTATAGTATTTGTTGGTATCAGAGTAAGAATTCTAGTATTGTGATGACCCTACTAAGTACAGCTTCTAAGAAAACTTCCTTTTACTCAGTTTTGTATTATAAAGCTGTGCATCAGCAGTGGAGGACTCATACTTTAGGCATTGCTGTAAAGAATGAGCTGATGTATCAATAACACATTACTCATTTCCCCAGAAGCCTGCAGTCAGGCACTCCTCCACATGTTCCTGTGCTTGTCAGTGAGGAGGGAGATCCAGAAAAAAGGACTCCTTTGGCGACTAATACCTTTAATGGATTTTCAGAGCTATTTATGCAGAGCTCCAGATAGGATTGACAGTGCTGTGACCTATGAGTGAGACGGACATGTAGACATGTGAGAACACATGGTAACACGACTTACACACACAGGAAGAGGGGGAGCTCAGCTCATCACGCATCAGAGATACACCCAGATGTGAATCAGTGTGTGGAGAGGAAAGAAGTAACCTTTCTCTCTCTCTCTCTATTTCTTTCTCTCTCTCTCTCACACACACACACACACACCTTAAAAATATGAAGACCCTGTCTGTGTTAAAAGAGACAACTCTGGTGGTGTTAAAAGTAACAAAATGCGTTTTCTTAAACTGGACACAAAAATCACACTGGTTAAAAATAACCCACTATGTGTTGCTTTTAAAACATCTGCTTTGAGAGCACACTTAGCAAAGTGAGAAGCCGCTGTTTCACACAGAATTCAACACAGCAGAACAACAGACAGCAAAGCAGAACGAAAAGAAACAAAGAAAGCAGCTGAGATACTGCTGGCTTTCTGTCTGTTATACACAAAGTCTGTTTCAAACACGCAGCATGATAACTTTTACCTAAAATAAACCTTTCCAAAAGACTAAGAGCGTGATTTGCACTACATGAGAATCACAGAGGCACATTATGCCAGGCTACACTAAACGGAAATAAACAGAAATCCCATTTCCACAAGGAAATAACTTGAAAAGCTGAGGCCATTTAAGCTGAATGTTTAAGAAAAGTCACTGCAGACCATTCTTTACTGTGATGCTGGTGTAAAGATAGGAGGAAAATAATCTTCTAACTAGAGCTGAAAAATAATCACTTTTATATCAATAATTTGAAAGACTGCAATTTTTAAATTGCATGAGCTACACTTTTATTCATTACATATGTTATCAATAATGCTGTCTTAAGTTTTAAGTGAGAAATTTAACATAATAACATGGAGCTTGTGAATCGCATTTAGGTGAGCTAGACCAATAAGAAACAACCAGACACACGTGCTTTGTACATGACAACTGGTATTCTGGCACACTGTGTTCAGTATTCAAGCCTTAAGCCAGAAAAAGTGGGTATTCTCATCTTCTTGGTCAAAACAACAGGCCTGGCTTTGATTTATAGGAAATTATCCCAAGGTCAAAAATTAATATATAGATATTTCCCCAAATTGTTCAGCCCTAATTCTAACAAAAGTACTTTACACATGTTTCATCACTTTACACATATAGTTGGAGTTGATACAGTCACTGTAATAAACAGACCACCTTTTATTCATTCAATTTTTAGTCAAAAAGGCTATTTAAAGTTCTTCATTTTTCAACATCAGTAAAAAAGCAGTAAACCTATATTTAACAAAAAATTACATGGAAACCTAAAAACTTATTATAATTTTTTCATTATTTCATGTCCACTCGTTGCCTTTATTACAGCTTCCATTCATTTCAGAACACTTACTTTCAGTTTTTCAAAAAATATACAGTGATATTTTTCCACATCTCCAAAGTTTCTAAGTTTCTGAGTCTTAGAGGTTGATTGCATTTTCTGCTTCTTACAGTGTTGCAATAAGGACTCTGGGCTGGTCATAGTTGAGGAAACATCAACAGCTTCTTTATTTGATTTGCAAATTTTCTTCTTTTTGGTCTATTTTCTTTTCTCAGTAACAGCTTCTTGACAGCTACACATCCTT